GCCATTATTGTTTCAAACAGGTTTTTGATTTCTTGTTCTCTCTCTTCTCCTTCTGGCACCTCCAAGATGCGAATGTTGGCACACTTGAAGTTGTCCCAGAGGCTCCTTACACTATCCTCCTTTTGGATTCTTTTTTCTTTTTGCTGTTCTGATTGGCTGTTTTTTGCTTCCTTATATTCCAAATCGATGGTTTGCTTCTTGGCTATACCTACTCTACTATTGAATCTGTGTAAATTATTCTTTATATCAGTTAGTGCCTCCTTCATTTCTGACTGGTCCTTTTTTATGCTCTTGAGGCCCTCCCCAAGTTCATTGAAGTTCCCACTAAGTTCATTGAGCATCCTTCTAAGCAGTGTTTTGACCTGTGCGTCTGTTAGGTTGCTTATCTCCATTTTGCTTAGTTCTTTTCCGGCAGTTTTGTTCTGTTCTTTCATTTGGGACCTATTTCTTTGTCTCCTCATTTTGGCTGCCTCCCTGTGTTTGTTTCTATGTATTACTTAATGAGAGGGTATGGGGCTAGCTGAGACCAGATGCTGCTTTTTTGAAAGAATTTAAGAAAACCTGAAGCAGGATCCAAGACAGGCCAATCCTATGGTAAAGCAAGTGGCAACAGCTTGGGTCGGCCTGAAAGTTGGGTGGGGTGGGGCAGACCCTCAGGGAATCACCAGGGCGGGGCTACCAGTGAAAGCCTGGTTGCTGGAGTCCCAGGGAAGGGCTCACCAAAGGAACAAAGGCCTCTGACATCACATCTGTCCAGGAGAAAGCTGCCTCTCCAGCCCTCGCTCCAATGCCAAACAACTCAGTTTTTCCCCTGTATGTCTCTGGTGCCTTTCAAGTTGCCTCCCCCACCCTGGAGCCTGGAGGGTGCGAGTCCGATAAGTCCGTGTGTGGGCTCTTTAAGAGGAGCTGCCTGGGGCTCCAGCTGCCTCAGCCTCCCTCAGCCTCAGTTCCAGCCAGGTTTTTCCAGTCTGAAATGATGGGGACTTCTCTTCCTGGCACTGGCACTCTGAGCAGGGCACCTGGTGTGGGACGGGGACCCCTCAGTCCTCAGGGAGGACCTTCCCAGCCGAGGTGCCCTCCTGATTTTTATCCGCCACACTTGGGTGTGGGACCAGCCCGTCCCCCTCCGCCCCTCCTACCAGTCTGGATGTGGCTGCTGCTTTAATTCCATAGTTGTAGGACTTCCATTCAGCTTGATTTCAGGCGGTTTTGAATGATGGTTGTTCTGTAGTTTAGTTGTAACTTCGATGTGGTTGTGGGAGGACGCAATACCGGGTTTACCTACCTGCCATCTTGACCGGAAGTCGATGAGAAATTTGTGTCTTAGTTTGAAGAAACTTTCCTGCATTATGTCTTTGATAATTTCCCCCCTTCTAGTTCCTCTTCTCATTCTTTCTGGAGTTACTGTTAGTCATGTTGAATATCCTGTGTGGATTCTCTTTTTGTCTTTTTTTTAAATCATTTTTTATTTTTCAATTACAGTTGAAATATTATGGTCTTTTGTCTTTTTGTGTCGTATTCTGGAACTTTTCTTTAACTTCCAACCCTTCTATCAGATTTCTCTATTTCAACTATTATTTTAATTTCCGAGAGCTTTTTCTTGGTCTCTGTTCTTTACATTGTCTTCTTTTATCTTTCTGAGAATATTAATTCTAGGTTTTTATCTTTCCTTTGTGCTACCCTGTTTCATTTTTCTTTACTTTGGTCGTGTTGGTCTCTGTCTTTCATGTTTCCTCTGGTGACTGATGCTCCTGGGCTCTCTGTTATATCGGAGAGTACGGCATTGGAGTCTGTTCAATGGGTAGTGGTCCAGTTCACTGTAAGAAGATCAAGTAGGAACCAGGCCCTTTGGTTGGAAGGTGCCCCAAGTGTCCTTCCTTACCTGCAAGGTTTTGTTGTTGCTATTTGTTTGTTTGCCTTTTCTTGGGATTGTCATTTCCTCCTGAAAAGACACGTCGTGTCACTAGTCACTGAAGACTAAAAGCTAAGCATTGTGACTGCTGAGTAAGGGGAGAGGCCTGAGGCTCTCACACTGCACTTCACATCCTGTTCTGAGCACAGCCCTCTCACTCTCTGCTGTGCCTCTTGTTCCAGGCCCGGGCTTCTCTGAAGCACATCAGCCACCCTCCACTTGGAAGAAGGAGAAGTGGAGACGCTGGCTCTCTGGGGTGCTCTTAAACTACTCTCGTTAGTGTTCTTTCGAACAGTTCTCCTTGTTTGGTTTGGTTTTGTTCCGCTTTTGATTCTCCAGTCTTCTCTCTTCCCCTTTCCTGAAGCCCAAAGCCTGCAGCTCCTGAGAAGTCCTGCCAGTGTGAATCAGCTGACTTCTCACGCGCTTCTCTGCAGGCACTTGGGCGTGAGCTTTCTCGATGCTCAGTTAGTTACCATTTGTGCATCCATCTTTCTCATTCTCTTTGTCTTTGTGGGTTTCTGTCTTTTACATTCTTACTCTTATTTATTTTAATTTATTTTATTTTTTTTATCCTCACCCGAGGACATCTTCCCATTTTTTGTTCAGATAGAGTAGGAGGGAGAGAGGAAGAGAGAGAGAGAGAGAGAGAGAGAGAGAGGGAGAGAGAGAGAAACATCGATGTGAAAGGGACACATTGAGTGGCTGTCACCCGCATGACCCAACCAGGGCCGGGGACAAACTGCAACCGAGGTACGTGCCCCTAGTGGGAATCGAACTGGGGACTCTCTGGACCACAGGCCGACGCTCTAACCACTGAGCCAAACTGGCCAGGGCTACGTTTTTACTCTTATTTTAGTGGGTCTTTAGAGGGGAATGAAGATGAACATGTATGTTCAATCAGGTATGTTTTTTCTGAAGGCGTGCCCACTTTCTGTTCTGTATTTGCTCTGGAATGTCTCTGAACTACCCTGTTGACACACACCCCATATGTTTAGCTCTTAGTCTTTTCCGTTTTTTTTGTTTTAATGGCAAGATGCTAGCTGGCCAGAGGTGCTAGATCTTTGTTCTGAAGCAACTTTTTAGAAGTTTCATAAGTTCATGTGAATTTGTGTCTTCTCCTTTAATCATTCCTTCTAGGGTTTCTGCTAGAGTTTTCCATGCCATTTTAATATTCCATTTCCTATCTTTTCTGAGCAGGGACTATTAATCTTTTTTTTTTTTTTCATTTTTGAGCCCACCTATCTTCATTGATATCAAGGGGCTTGGAGTGCTCTCTAACAATGAGTCAAGCCCTGGCCAGTGTGGCTCAGTTGGTTGGGCTTCATCCCATGCACCGAAAGGCTGCCGGTTCCATTCCCGCTCAGGGTACTTGCCTGGGTTGTGGGCTTGATCCCTGGTAGGGGGCATGCAAGAGACAGCTGATTGATGTTTTGCTCTCACATCAATGTTTCTCTCTTTCTCCCTCTCCTTTCCTCTCTCTTTCTAAAAACTCAATAAAACATTAAAAAAATATATTAAAAAACAAAAAAACTGCCCTGGCTGGTTTGGCTCAGCAGTTAGAGCTTTGGCCTGTGGTCCAGAGAGACCCGGGTTTGGTTCCCGCTAAGGGCACATACCTCAGTTGCAGTTTGTCCCTGGCCCTGGTTGGGTCATGTGGGTGGCAACCACTCGATGTGTCCCTTTCATGTCGATGTTTCTCTCTCTCTCTCTCCCTCCCACTCTATCTGAACAAAATATTGAAAAATGTCCTCGGGTGAGGATGAAAAACAAAAAACAAAAAAAACCCCACAACAACAAAAAAAGAAAACAGCCCTGGCCGGTTTGGCTCAGCGGTTAGAGCGTCGGCCTGCGGTCTGTAGAGACCCGGGTTCGGTTCCCGCTAAGGGCACGTACCTCGGTTGTAGTTTGTCCCCGGCCCTGGTTGGGTCGTGCGGGTGGCAGCCACTAGATGTGTCCCTTTCACATCGATGTTTCTCTCTCTCTCTCTCCCTGTCTCTCTCCCTTCCACTCTATCTGAAAAAAAAAATGGAAAAATGTCCTCGGGTGAGGATAAAAAAACACACAAAAAAACAAAAAAACTCCATAATGAATAGCTGATGGCTGCTGAGGTGTTAATTCACACATCAAAGACTTTTTCTTTAACAAAAAAGAAAAGAAGTAAACACAGGGCATTCCTGTTTTCAGTTCCTTTATATTGATTGGTACCTTGAACATTATTGACACAAGCTTATTTTCTTACTTTTTTTTAATCCTCACCTGAGGATATTTTTCTGTTTATCTTCAGAAAGAGTGGGAGAGAGAGAGAAACATACCGACATGAGAGGGACATACCGACTGGTTGCCTCCCACACGACCAGGAACGGACCACAACCGAAGTACATGCCCTTGACCGGAATCGAACCCATGACTCTTTGGTCCATGGGCTGTCGCTCTAACCACTGAGCATACTGGTCAGGGCAACACTTAAGGTTATTTTCATTATTATTATTTCCTCTCCTGATTGACTTTCTTTAGTTTCCTTTTCAAATAGTCAACTTGCAAGGGATTTTGAGATTTTCAACAGGATATTTGGTTAAGTGATAAGTGATGTGTTTAATTTAACACACATTTGTTGAATGCAAAGCACTGTGCCTAGTGATTCTGGACATGCAAAGATATTCAAGACATGATCCATACTCCAAATACTCAATTAGTTCAGGACAATAGCATTAACTAGCGGTTCTGCTACAGAGATAAATGCTGCAGTCTAAATGCAAGCCACGTATTGGGAGTAATGTAGAAGCAGTGACTGTCCTAGGTTGGGAATTGGAAGGGCTGGGAGAGGGGCAGGATTGGAGCTGAGTGTAGAGGGTAGAGGTCTAGACTTTCATGGATGTGGCAGGGAAGACGATCTCTAAAGGTAGACTTGGGAAATGCTCCTGCTCGTCAACAGCCACCTTAGTTACTCTTGTCACTTACATGCCTTTCAGAGTAGGTAAATGGTCAGATATATCTGGGGATTTATGAGCACTGCTTGTAATTCTAAATGTGCTTTTCTGTCTTAAGTTAATGCTGTTAGAGTGTCATCATGTTGATGTTGTTCTTCTAGCCGCCGGTTCCTATACATCGTTAATCTAGATGCCCCTTTCGAAGGTCACAGGAAGATCTCTCGCCAGAGCAAGTGGGACATTGGTGCTGTGCAGTGGAATCCTCATGATGGCTTTGCACACTACTTTGCAGCTTCGGTGAGTTTATTTAAGGAGTACAGGGAAAGGCTTTTAAATGTGTGGTTTGTATGTCCTATGTGGAGAAGAGAATGTAACCCTCATTTCTCAGGCAGAAAAGAGGTGTGGGTGGTTCTAAAAGGAAGATAGAGGCAAATCACAGACAAAATACAATTACTGGTATCATAGGTATCAGACCTTGTGTTTCTAAGAATTGAATTCAGATTTTCAAGGGGAATGGGTAGATGCCTATATTTCTGTGTGTGATGAGAACCTGTTTCCATTAGCAGCAATGGAACTAAGCAGTGACTCTGAAACATGTTCTGAGAGGGAACTAGTGAGCTCGTCTGTGGTTGACCTTCATTGCTTTCAGAGGGATCAGAAGAGTCCATTTGCCCTTTCACTCAAAGGAAGGGGTTCTTTCTTTATTGGGATTCATTAGATTGGTTAACCCCCTAAAATTTTCTTTTTTTTTTTATCCTCACCCGAGGACATTTTTCCATTTTTTGTTCAGGTAGAGTGGGAGGAAGAGAGAGGAACAGAGAGAGAGAGAGAAACATCGATGTGAAAGGAACACATCGAGTGGCTGCCACCCACACAACTGACCAGGGCCGGGGACAAACTGCAACCGAGGTACGTGCCCCTAGCGGGAACCGAACCTGGGTCTCTCAGGACCGCAGGCCGACGCTCTAACCGCTGAACCAAACCAGCTAGGGCAACCCCCTAAAATTTTATGTGCCTGTTTATGTATGTATTTTTCCAGGGATAAGATGCATACCTTTTATTAGGTTTTCTAAGTGACTCATGACTGAAAAAAGATTCTGGGCCAGTCATCTCTGGTACTGTTCCTCTATCAGCATTCTGTTTTCCTAGAGCACTTAGGGATCCCAACCTTTGGCTCCTTTTGCACTGGGCTAGAAGGATAGTATTTAAAAGAACCCTTCTTTTTTTTTTGATCCTCACCTGAGGATATTTTTACATTAATCTTCAGACAGAGCTGGAGGGAGAGAGGGAGGAAGAGAGAGAGAGAAACATTGATGTGAAAGAGATACATCGACTGGTTGCCACCCGCACGACCCCAACCTGGTCAGGGATGAAGCACAACCTAGGCATGTGCCCTTGCCTGGAATTGAACCCGGGACTCTCTGGTCCTAGGCGACACTCTTACCGCTGAGCCACACTGGCCAGGGCTAAAGGAACCCTTCTTATTGTCCAGGGGATGTGATCAGTCACAGTGCTGTCTGGGGCTTTTCTTATCAGGAATGGCAGTCTGTGAGACGAAAGCATCTGAGAAGATAAAGAAGAGCGATATTGTCAGCTTCAGAAGGAACAAAAAGCTGCTCTTTCCCATAATTTCCAAAATAGAATCTGACTACCTGACTTTAACTGTAGACGTGTATGAGGCAGGATGCTCTCTTTGTTGGCTTATACCTCAAGAGCTTTAGCTCCCCTCTCACCCTCAACCTCTGATCATTTGGTCCTGGGTTTCTCAACGCTGGTACTGTTGACAAGTAAGGCCACATAATTCTTCATGGTGGGGGTTGTCCTGTGCATTAGGAAATTTAGCAGTATTTCTGGCCCTCTCTCTACCTGCTAGATTCCTGTAGCATCTCCCTCATTGTGACAACCCAAAATGTCTCTAGACATTTGCTAAATGTCCCCTGGGAAGCAAAATCTCCCCTGCTGAGGAAACACTGGTGTAGGCTCACCCCTCAGTACTCGGTCCCAGTGGTTTAACACGGCATTTGATTAGGAGTGGTGAGGAAGGCAGTCCATGCCCTGCTTTTCTTTAAAGGCAATAATTTTAAAGTGAACATTTAGTGTCATTTATTGCATTCACAATGTTATGTGACTACCACCACTATCTAGTTCCCAAATATTCATCACTCCATTGTAAAACCCCTTACCAGTAAACAGTTTCTCTCCATTCCTCCCTCCCCACAGCCCCTGGCAACCACCTGTCTGTGTTCTGTCTTTATGGATTTATCTGTTCTGGATATTTCATATAAATGGAATCATGTAATATATGATCTTTTGTGTCTGGCTTCTTTATCCATGTTATATCAGTACTTCACTCCTTTTTATGGCTAAATAATATTTAAATGTATGGATAGACCACATTTTGTTCATCTGTTTATCTGCTGATGGATACTTGGGCTGACTTTTGTGAATAGTGCCGATATGAACATGTGTGTACATGTACTTTTTTTGAGTACTAGTTTTCAGTTATTTTTTTTGTTAATCCTCACTGGAGGATATTTTTTTCCATTGATTTTTAGAGAGTGGAAGGGTGAGGGGTGGGGGAGAGAGCGATACATCAATGTGAGAGAGACACATTGATGGGTTCCTTCCTGCACATACCCAGACCAGGGTTGGGGATTGAACCTGCAACCCAGGTATGTGCCCTTGACCAGAATTGAACCCATGACCACCCAGTGCTTGGGCTGACACTCTAACCACTAGTCATGCTGGCCAGGGCTGTTTTCATTTCTTTTTGGTGTATACCTAGGTGTGGCATTGTAGTCTGTGTTTAACTTATTGAGGAACCATAAAACTGTTTTCTACAGTGGCTGAACTGTTCTACAGGCCTACCAGCAATGCACGTGGGTTCCAGTTTCTCCATTGTCACCAAAATTTGTTATTTCCTGCTTTATTTAAAATTTAAAAAAATTATAGCCATCCTAGTGGGTGTAAAGTAGTACCTCACTGTGGTTTTGATTTTCATTTTCCTAATGACTAATGATGTTGAGCATCTTTTCGTGTGCATGTTGGCCATCTGTGTGTCTTTTTTTGGAGAAATGTCTATTCAAGTTCTTTGCCTATTTTTGTGTTGGGTTGTTTGTCTTTTTGCTTTTGAGTTGTAATAGTTCTTTTTATTTTTCTTTCTTTTTAAAAAAATCTTTATTGTTGAAAGTATTATAGCCCTGGCCGGTTTGGCTCAGCGGTTAGAGCGTCGGCCTGCGGTCCTGAGAGACCCGGGTTTGGTTCCCGCTAAGGGCACGTACCTCGGTTGCAGTTTGTCCCCGGCCCTGGTCGGTCGTGCGGGTGGCAGCCACTCGATGTGTCCCTTTCATGTCGATGTTTCTCTCTCTCTCTCTGTTCCTCTCTCTCCCCCCAACTCTACCTGAACAAAAAATGGAAGAATGTCCTCGGGTGAGGATAAAAAAAAGAAAGTATTATAGATGCCCCCCCCTTCCCTCCATTGACCCCCCTCCTCCCTGCTTCCACTCTCCCTTTTGCTTTCCCCAAACTATTGTTTGTGTCAATTGGTTATGCATATATGCATATAAGTGTAATACTTCTTTATATGTTTTTGACACTAGACCCTTGTCAGATATGTGATTTGCAAATATTTTCTCTAGTTATGCAGATTATTTTCACTTTATGTATTTGTTTTTTTATTGATTAATTCTTGAGAGAGAGAGGATGAAAAAGAGAGTGAGATAGAGAGAAACATTGATTTGTTGTTCCATTCATTGGTTGATTCCCGAATGTGCCCTAACCAGGCATTGAACCTGCAATCCTGGCACATAGGGATGATACTCCAACCAACTGAGCTACCTGACCAGGGCCTTTACACATTCTTGATAATGTCCTTTGATATAAAAAGTTTTAATTTTAATGAAGCTCAATTTATTGATTTTGGTTTTTTTTTTCTTTTTGAGCTTCAGTTGATTGATTTAGTTGCTTCATTTAGAGGAGACATGGTGAGGATACCTAGTGTATAGTGTGGTGGGAAGGAGCAGACGACAGGTTTGTTAAGGTGCCTAGTTCACGGAGAGGCACTAGCAGACCTTTTGGAAATGTGAGGGAATATTGTGATGAGAGGAATTTCTTTTCACTCCTAGTCCCATTGGAAGTTATTTTGAATCCTAATCTTTTCATAAGAAATCTTACCAATTTAGCATAGGGATCAAGCATTTCAGGATAAAGTTCTCAAAATGTTATGCATCTATATGACTCTGAGCTAAAATGAAAATCAGTCATATATATATATCAGTTCAGAAATTATTGTTGTTTCTTCTGGACCGTTTTCTCTGTGTCTTTCTGCTTCAGTCTTTAAGAAATTGTATGTAGGCCTATTTTAAGGAGTCTGGTATAATTTTGCCTTCTAGGACACCCTTTTGAATAATGTTTCTGTTCTTGTGCATTTCTCTTTTTGAAGTGTGGTAGGTTGACTTTAGCATTTGATAATGGGAAGAGTGAGCTAAAAAGTCTGGTGTGACAGCAGCTGGAGAGAGATGGCTATGTGACTTTCAGAATGGAGAAGAGGTTTCTCTAGTGGTCTGGGGACATCTCCATTACCCATAACCCACATGCTCAATCTGTAGGATCTTTTTTTTTATCCTCACCTGAGGACATTTTTGCATTTATCTTCAGATAGAGCGGGAGGAAGAGAGGGGGGAAGAGAAAGAGAAACATCGATGTGAGAGAGACACATCAAGTGGTTGCCACCTATATGACCCCAACCAGGGCCGGGGACAAACTGCAACCAAGGTATGTTCCCTTAGCGGGAACTGAACCCAGGACTCTCTAGTCCGCAGGTTGATGCTCTAGCTGCTGAGCCAAACTGGCCAGGGTTCAACCTGTAGGATATTTGTCATGAGAGTTTGTTTCTACATGACTTCCCTTTCTTGGCCTCAAGGAGATTGGGGTAAGAGCATATATTCTGATGTACTGCTTGCTGCCTTCTTTCCCTTGTTTCTTTTCAGAGTAACCAACGGGTTGACCTCTACAAGTGGAAAGATGGCAGCGGGGAAGTTGGCACAACCTTACAAGGCCATACTCGTGTAATCAGGTAGGCACAGCCCTCTATGGCTCCCTGGGCTATCTCACTTTGCCATAGTGCTTTGGGGAATGAAATGAAAACACCTGTCTCCTCCCACAGCTTGACTATATTTTGTTGGCCCTAGGTGGCTGTTAGGTTGTTAGCTTGTACTAAGGTGATGATTTTCACAGTGAAGAACACCTGGTATTTAGGAACCAGCATCCATGTAGTATTGAACCCAATCCCATAAAGTTCTTAGAAAAGTACAGAGTAAGGATTAGAGTTGATTTTTGCTGCAGGAGAGAGAGAAGTTATGTCAACAGAATCCCCAAGGTCACAGTCGGTGGTGCCCCAGAATAGAGACATCAGGGAGCAGCTTTTTTTTTTTTTTAACATTTTTTCTTTATTGATCTTAGAGAGAGGAAAGGAGAGAGAGTGCGAGAGAGAAACATCAATGAGAGAGAACATCGATTGGCTACCTCCTGCATGCTCCCCGCTGGGGATCAGGCCCACAACCTGGGCATGTGCCCTGACTGGGAATCGAACCGGTGACCTCTTGGTGCATGGGTCGATGCTCAACCACTGAGCCACACCAGACAGGCCATGGGAGCAGCTTTTTGCTTTCTCTGGCCACTGAGTCAACACATAAAACTCCTGTGTCACAGTCCGCTATTCCACTCAGACACACAGTTGCCTTCCACTCACACCTTCCAGTTGGCTTCTGGAGTGTTCCTTGGTCTATCCTTCCCCTGGGTCCCTGCTTCTGGGTGGGGGAGACTTGTTTTGGGAAGTAGCATAGGGAGTGCAGGAGGGGTGAAGTGGCCCTAGGAAGTGATGGGATAGGCCAGACCCCTGCCTGTGCTAACTGTGCATGCAGTATGTGCCTTCATAGGCCCGAGGGCAAGAGTAGGCCACCAGAGGCCTGCTGGCAACGTGGCGGTTTGCCCCTGCTTTTGGAGATGTTGGCTTTGCTCAACGTACCTGTGGTTGAGTCTGATTCAGAAAATGAGAAGTCAAACATTTTCCTTGTTTTGTCTGTACAGTTTGTGCCTGCATGTGTGTGTTTTAAGTTGAAACACTCTGTTTCTTTTTCGGGAGCAGTGTAGTATAGCTTGAGATGACAGGAAGGACCTGAAAGTTTCTTTCAGAGCTCTGTTCCCAAAGAACTTTGGAGATTCCAGCCTAAATCATGTTAAGAGCCCCAGTAATTGACTTTCTGAAGCCACTAGAAACTAAATCTGCCAATGCTTGGAAACCAGACTGAATTTTTTTCTCTTCCATATTCTGTTTATTTCTGTGTTCCCAGCGACTTGGACTGGGCAGTGTTTGAACCTGATCTCCTCGTTACCAGCTCTGTGGACACCTACATCTACATTTGGGATATCAAGTAAGAATGATTAAGAAGCATAACTACATGTTTGTGGGATGATTTGGTACCTTTGTTTTAGAGATCAGGTGTCTTAATTTGGTCCCCTAGATGCAAACCCTGAGACAAGGATACTTTGCAGATACGTTATTTAGAAGGTGAAGGAAAGGCTGTAGAGCAGCAGTTCTCAACCTGTGGGTTGCGACCCCTTTTGGGGTCGAACGACCCTTTCACGGGACGCCTAGGACCATTGGAAAAAACATATTTCCAATGATGATTCATAACAGTAGCAAAATTACAGTTATGAAGTAGCAACGAAAATAATTTTATGCTTGGGGGTCACCACAACATGAGGAACTGCAGTAAAGGGTTGCGGCATTAGGAAGGTTGAGAACCACTGCTGGAGAGGATGGAGAAGAGACAGGAGGGGGAAGGCCACCAATAGGGGTGCGTTATCCACCTGTGTTCCACTGTGGACAGGTGACGCTGAGTTTCACTGGGGACTGCTAGGTGCTAGTGTAAAACTCCCTCCTCAGAGGCGTCCAACCCCGAGGGCTAACGAAGTGGGGGTGTTGTTCACCGTCAGTCATTGCTTGTTCCCAGGGGCCTTAATTCCCTGGCACCTCAGTCCTGTCACAACAGTTCACAGAATGGACTTCAGCAGCTAGGGAGAGTTGTGGGCCAAGAACACAGGTGCTGGCACTTGGAAATCAGGCTGAAGTTGACTGAAGCGGCAGGTGGCGGTGGGGGAATTTTGATAGGCACAGACACACATCTGCTGCCGCAGGCAGTGCTGAGACACATCTGCTCGGTTCCTTACTTGCTCTTTGTGAGGCTTCAGTTCCCCATCTGTAAGAGGGTCCTGAGAGCCACCTGGTAGGGTTAGTCTTCCTGGGGTAAAGAGCACACACTCAGGGCCGGCGCCTTGCAGGTTCTTGCTAAACAACTCTTCCATTTTCCCTTTGCAGAGCACAGAGCCCTTTACCATAACAGTTAGTGGTGACTTCTAGAGGGTATAGTCTGTAGAGTCTCCCTGATGGGACACTTTTCCCCCTCACCAGGCTGCTCTATTCCCAAATGGCAGGGGCTTTGTGATATTTTACACTGAAAGGTGGACTATAGATAGAAGCCAAGCCAGATATTGGGTGTGACGGATCTGACTGACCAGACCAGAGAAAGGGATTCTTAGGGAGTAAGGGTATGCACAGCTGACATCTGCATCCTCTGCAGGTTAGCGCTTCAGAGGTGGTTAGTAAAGGCAGTGCCAGAGGGAGGAAAGGAGCACGAAATCCAGGGAAATGGGAGAGAGAAGCTTTTATTTATTTATTTTTTAATTGAATTTATTGGAGTGACATTGGTTCACAAAACCATACAGAGTTCAAGTGTACAACTCAACAAAACAGCATCTGTACACTGCATCGTGCACCCATTGTAAAGTCTTTTTCCACCCCCATTTATTCTCCCTTTGCCCACCTCTCCCCACTCCCCTTTCTCTCTGGCTATCGCCACACTGTTGTCTGTGTCTGTGTGTTATATATAGTGTCATATACATAATGTTTTTTCTTAATTCCTTCACCTTCTTTCATTCAGCCTGCCAACCCCCTCCCCTCTGACAGCTGTCGGTCTGTTCCGTGTATCCGTGTCTCTTTCTATTTTGTTTGTTTGTTCATTAGATTCCACATATAAGTGAGATCATAGAAACAAAACCCCCAGGGAGCTATGGCCCAAGTTTAGATAGAGTATTCCTCATTTACATAAAACAACTGTTTTCATAATTTAAAGTTTAAAAGACACTGAACTGAGATTCATTTTCAGGTCTTCTAAATAGTAAGTATAAGCTGAAGATTTGCCTTGTCTGGCCCTCCCAGCCCTAGGGTGCTGCTCAGTTCTGTCATTTTACCATTTGTAGGAAGAGCCTCTCTATCCAAGAGTCTCCACTTGTCTCTAGGAGTAGGTGTTTTGTTTTGTTTTTTAATTGTGATTATAAAACAAAACAAAATTTACCATCTTCACCATTTTTAAGTGTACAGTCAGTAGTGTTAAGTATATTCACATTGTTGTGCAACAGATCTCCAGAATTTTTCATTGGGCAAAGCTAAAACTTTGTACTCATTAAACAACAACTTCCCATTTCTCCCACCCCCTAGCCCCTGGCAACCACCATTCTACCTTCTGTCTCTATGCATTTGACTACTCTAGGGACCTCGTGTAAGTGGAATCATACAATATTTGTCCTTTTGTGACTGACTTATTTGACTTAGTATAATGTCCTGAAGGTTCATCCATGTTGTAGCATTTGACAGGCTCTCCTTCCTTTTCAAGGCCTAATAATATTCCATTGTGTGTGTGTGTGTGTGTGTGTGTGTGTGTGTAAAACACATTTTGTTTATCCACTCATCAGTCAATGGACACTTGGGTAGCTTCCACCTCTTGGCTTTGTGAACATCCAGAGTACTTTTTTTTTTTTATCCTCACCCGAGGACATTTTTCCATTTTTTGTACAGATAGAGTGGGAGGGAGAGAGGGGAAGAGACAGAGAGAGAGAAACATCGACGTGAAGGGACACATCGAGTGGCTGCCACCGCACGACCAACCAGGGCCGGGGACAAACTGCAACCGAAGTACGTGCCCTTAGCGGGAACCGAACCCGGGTCTCTCCGGACCGCAGGCCGATGCTCTAACCGCTGAGCCAAACCAGCCAGGGCCAGAGTACTTTTTACTCCACCCTTGAAATGCTGTTGGGAAGGTTCTTGTAGAGTCACCCCTCCATGACTTTTCCCCTTCCATTAGGAGAAATGACACCAGGAAGGTATTCTTTTGGCTTTTTCTGCTCCTACATCGAGGTCACCTAGGCCATGCTGAATCATATTTTCTGTGAATGCAGCTGTGTGATTTGAAATTCAGACTTGGCCCCTCAATTGAAGTGACTGACAAAGTTCATCTACCTGGTGGGAGACAAGCTTCTCTTTATGCTTTTTTTAAGGCCCTCACATTCCCACTGAATTCCCAGTCCCTATTGAAAGGGAAGTGAAGAAATGCGTGCAGAGGGTGAAAAGCACCAGGTGGATGGTGGCATATGAATTGGGCATTTGATTTCTGACTTTTATATTTCAGAGACACAAGGAAGCCTACCATTGCACTGTCTGCTGTAGGTGAGTGCATACTCCCTGGCTTGTCTTTATTCTATTCCTTCCATTCTTTCTCTCACACTGACTGTCCCATACCCCATGTTTTATCATGGCTAGGTAGAGTTTTAAGTTCCATATTGCAAGGGGCTTGCTTCAGGCTGCTCTTAGATATTAGAGTCAGGAGTGTTGAGTGTGGTCAGGAACTTATTTCAGATTGCAAGGACAGGAAACAAATTGATTTGTTCTTAAACTTTTTATAGTGGAAAATTTTAAATGTGTATAAAAATAGTTCATCATTCAGCGTCAACAGCTGTCAACATACTGCTACTCTTATTTCTTTACCTCCACCCACCCTATCCTCCTTGGAGTTGTTTTGAAGCAATTCCTGGGTATCCTCTCATTTCATCAACAAATATTTCAGTAAGTAGTTTTTACAAGAGAAGAATCCTTTAACAAAACATAATTATAATACTGTCAACAAACCTAAAAATGTTAATAATAGCTCTTTATTATCATCATACATCTAAGCGGTGTTCAAATTTACCCAAAAGTCTCTCTCTCTCTCTTTCTCTTTACAGTTATTTGAATCAGAATCCAAGTAAAGTCCATACTTGCACGTGGTTGATATAGTTCTCATTTATTTTTTATTTTATTTTTCCTCACCTGAGGATATTTTTCCATTTATTTTCAGACAGAGTGGGAGGGAGAAAGAAAGAGAGAGAGAAACATTGATATGAGAGAGACACAGCAATTGGTTGCCTCCCGCATGATCTTGAGCAGGGTGGGGACCAAACCACAACTGAGGTACGTGCCCTTGACCGGAATTGAACCCATGAAGACTCCTTGGTCTGTGGGCCAACGCTCCAACTGCTGAGCCAAACCAGCCAGGGCTAGTTCTCATCATTTTTAATCAGTAAGGTTCTTCTCCCTCTCTTTTTTCAGTTTCTCTTTTTCAGCAGTTTATTTATTAAAGACACCAGGTTGTTTGTCCTGTGGTTTCCCTACAATCTCAGTGATGCTGATTGTGTCCCCATGGTGTCATTTAATATGGAGGCACCAAGTCTTTGGAATTACTTTCCTATCTACTTGTTACCATTGCTCAGTTGGAATGGACAGTCGGGGAATCCCAACTGCACTGAGGCTGTTGTGTGGTGTTCCTGCTAGTTTCTGAGAGTCAAACTTGGGTGTAGAACTGGTAAACCTTACTCACAGTGATGAAGCCCAGTCATCAGTATTATATTTTGACATCCTTGATAAAAACATATATTATCTGTCTCTTAGATCCTAATTGCTCCTTTGTATCTTCTTGTTACATTTGAATTCCCATTTGGTATTTGTTCCAAAATGATTACATGATTCTTCTCTTTCCCCCTGTACCCCAAGCTTCATCATCTAAAGACTGGATTATCTGTTCTGTGAGTTTAGGGACCACTTCTGTCTGCTTCAGTGCTATAGACCAAGGTCAGCATGACCCGAGGGGATGCTCCATAAATGTTTGTTAAGTGGATCTGGGAATCAAGCACCTGTGCCTCTATGCTAAGGGCTTAATGATTCTGTTGATCTGTGTCTCCCCTCTTTAGGCACTTATGATCTTAGACACAGAATGGTCTGCAGACATGGTTGCAGAGGTTGTCCAACTGCATAAACATACAAATGGTCTGTAAATGCCTCAGTCCATTCCTCTGACTTTTAAGTTAGATTGGTCGTAGAGGAACCCTAAAAACAAAGACAGTTCTTATTTCAGCCCACCTGCTTAAAATACTTTCTTTTCTGGTATAGGTCCTTCTAAAAAACAGAAGTAGGAGGCTTCTTGCACTGTTGTACCTGAGAGAGGTTTCTCAGTCGTGGTAAAGCTGCTCTGGGAGAAAAGAGGCACCCGAGAGGCTTTAGACCTTTGTTAGCTGCCCACATAACATTCCCGGAGAGGTGCAGCCTTGGATACGCTGCTCCCCACATATGTGGTGCCCAGCTCCCTGGGGTAGGGAGTCAGTGAGAATGCGTCCATGTGTGCTCCAGAGTGTTCTTGTGTAGCCTAGGACCTCTGTTTGACTGTGGTGTCACGATCTCAGTAGGGTAGGTTGAATTAGGGGGTTCCCAGAATTTCTGAGAGGCTTCCTGGTCTGATGGGTACCCCACTGGGAAAAGTATTTTCTTGGAACGTTTCAAGTAACTGCCGTGAGGAGATGGAGGAGGCTTTTCTTACCCATGCTCTAGCTCAGTGGTTCTCAACCTGTGGGTCGCGATCCCTTTGGGGGTCGAACGACCCTTTCACAGGGGTCGCCTAAGACATAACAGTAGCAAAATTACAGTTATGAAGTAACAACAAAAATAATTTTATGGTTGGGGGTCACCACAACATGAGGAACTGTATGAAAGGGTCGCGGCATCAGGAAGGTTGAGAACCACTGCTCTAGCTGATACTCTTTCTTGCAAAAAATCTTGGGTCTACTAAGTAATACACTCCCTTTCTTCATTTTAAGGGGTTTCCACCACTTGTTCTTAAATGACTTAAGATGCCCTGTATCTCAAGAGAGAAAAACAACAACAAAAAAACCAAACAAACAGAAGCCCTCACCAAAACCAAGCAAGGATAAGTCCAGGGCCTTAACTCTGTTTCCTGTTAGATTCTAAGTCCTTGCTTTATCTCTCATGCTCTCCAGACTAGCCCTGGGTCTACTATGGTGTCGCCAGTAATACACATCCACCCAAAGGGCGAGGTGTCCAAGCAGAAATATGTGTCATCTGAACAAGAACAAGAAGAGGTGGGAAGGAGGACCATTGTTTGGTTTGGGTTTAACTTAACCTGATAATTTTTAAGAGTCAGCTGTAATTGCTGCTATGTCTCAGGTTTCCCCCTTTTTTTTTTGTGATATGTGCCCCTAGCGGGAACCGAATCTGCGACTCTCTGGTCCGTAGGCCGATGCTCAACCGCTGAGCCAAACTGGCCAGGGTGCGTTTTCCCCATTTCTTAACCTCTTCTGCCATCTTACAGTGTGCCTCCTCTCTTAAGTAGTAGCTTATTTGTCATTGTTCTTTGTGTTTGCAGAGTGAGAAAGGCCTTAGTCCACACAGTGCCGGGGTGTTCCCTTTCCCTGACTCGATGCAGGGCTAGTGGCCATGTCCAACCACTGATGGGGAGGTGGAGTGGGTGCACATAACTCTCTGAGGGCAGAACTGGGCAATATGGGGGCTTATTTTTCATTAGAGCTTCATCTGTGGGCTTTGTTTTTCCAAGACTGTCCCTCTACAAAAATTAAATAGGGAAGGAGCAGGCATTCAGCTGATGAGTCAATTACCAACCAGCAAGCCACATTCAACTTCTGCTCTCTAAGAAATTACATTTCTCTGCTGATGCTGCTTGGAGGTAACCTGTACATTTTTTCCCCAAGTGAAGTTATTTCCTCAATTAGGTGACTCTGATCCTGTTCCCATGTGTTATTTAATTCATTTATTTTTCGGCTTTATTTTCTTTTTATGGTGGAGTTGGTGCAGTTACAGAAACGGGAAGGATTCTGTGCTTATTCCAATCAGAGCTCATTACCCAGCTCCCCTGCATGTGCTGCCCTCTGGTTCTGAAGGTGCTGAAGCAGCCGCTTTCTTCTCCTGATTTTTCTTTGCAGCGGGTGCCTCACAGGTCAAATGGAATAAAAAAAACGCTAATTGCCTTGCCACCAGTCACGACGGGGATGTACGGATATGGGACAAGCGGGTGAGTAATTTCTCTTTTCCCCCAGTTGGCCTTTAATCCTTCTCAGAGGGTAAGAAGAGGACGTTTTAAGTAGCAGGGCTTGTCTTGTGAGTCTAGGGTGCCCCATGCAGCGTGGTAAATTGCCATTTTAAGATCACAGTCCCAGCCCTGGCCGGTTCGGCTCAGCGGTTGGAGCGTCGGCCTGCGGTACAGAGAGACCTGGGTTCGGTTCCCGCTAGGGGCGCGTACCTCGGTTGCAGTTTGTCCCGGCCCTGGTCGGTTGTGCGGGTGGCAGCCACTCGATGTGTCCCTTCACATCGATGTTTCTCTCTCTCTCTCTTCCTCTCTCTCCCTCCTGCTCTATCTGAACAAAAAATGTCCTCGGGTGAGGATTAAAAAAAAAAAAAAAGATCACAGTCCCAGGTGACATTTGCTTCCCCATCAAAATGGTGTTGAAGGAAGGGAGGGAAGTGGGGCATTATGATTGGTGGTTAAGAAAATGAACTTGGCCCTGGCCAGTTTTGCTCAGAGGTTGGAGCATTGGCTCGCGGACCAGAGAGACCCGTGTTCAGTTCCCGCTAAGGGCATGTACCTCGGTTGCAGTTTGGCCCCGGCCCTGGTTGGGGTTGTGTGGGTGGCGACCACTCGATGTGTCTCTCTCACATCGATGTTTCTCTCTGTCTTTTCCTTCCTCTCTCCCTCCTGCTCTATCTGAAGATAAATGCAAAAATGTCCTCGGGTGAGGATTAAAAACAAAATAAAACCAAACCAAACAAAAACAAACAGAAAAGAAAATGAACTTGGACTGTGAAGTTAGAGTCCCATTCTGCTCCTCCTCAGTGTGATAACAGGTGAGCCACTAAACTTCTCCAAGCCTCTGTTTCTTTATCTTTAAAATAAAGATGATAATAACAGTGAATGTATCATTGGAGAAGGTCAAGCCTGGAGAACCCAACACTACTCTAGGATGGTCAGCTGCCCCAGATTGCAAAGCGTAAACTAGTCTTTCTAAGACATATACCATCCTGAATATCTCTGGTGTAAATCACTGAGGTGCGGGGTACTCAGTTGTACAAATTCTCCTTAGAAGCCTAGCTGTCCTATCAGCCCCAAAGAGCCTGCTTAAAGAGCCTGAAGACCATATATTCTCTCCGTAGCAGCTCCTGTAACTGACAGGCATGAAAGAGGTGAGGGGTCCTAGACTACTGCTGCCATGGAAAGTATGTTGGACGTTTGGTATGTTTACATGAGGAACAGTAATGATGCAGGGAAAGGGCCTCCCCCATAGCTCACTGCCTGATGATTGGGTAATAATGCATAGAGCACTTGGCTTCTGTAAGATCTGGGGTCTAAATACCACTTTCTGCTTTATGAAACTCTAAATGGAGATCTCAGCCTTTGTGGGGAGTACCTATTTTGAGTTTTCCTGAAACTTGTTCAGGGGCTGTCCCAACTCGGGTGTTGATTGGAAAGTCTCAATTTTGCTTCCTCCTAGCAGGGAATAAGGTCTTACAGCTGCAGAGCAGAGGGAAGTGAAGCAGAGATTGGGGGTTTGCTGAGTTGGGTGCCAGGCCCGGTGGGGAAGCAGTGTGCTGGCTGAAGCTTCCTGCCTTAGGTTAGCTCTTACGTGAGAAGGTGATTTTCTAAGTAGAAATCGAACAGGTGCATCTTTCTTATGTTAGTTTTTGTCTCAGTCCCTTTAGTCCAATCTGCTAATAGCCATTCTACCCTCTTTATTTCTTAAATTGATGATTGGTTTTATTACTTTTGTCATTAGCATGGCATTTAATATAGTGAATAGTTTAAATAAAATGTGTGGTTACTTGTAGTGCATCCCTGTCTGCTATAGGATATTTTCAGAGTCTGAGGCAAAATAAACACTTTGGTATTTAGCCAAGAACTCTGTCAGTACCTGTTTTCCAAAACGGTGCCTGTGTTTCTTATCTGCCATATTATTCCTTCCTTGTTTTCTGATTGGTCCACTGATTACCCTGACTCCCCTCAGCAAGCCTTTTATTTATTTTGTTGAAAGGGTGTTAACTTTATTTTTAGCTATTAATGACTTAGGACTTCTGCTGAAGCGGACTGTAAACTCGTTGGTTTTATTTCTCTGGCACCTTGTAGTGTCAGAGCAGCACTGATGGCAGGAAGCCTCAGAGCTTAAAAAAGTGCAGTATCAGTGGTAGTGTTGTAGTTTCTTCAAGCTCACGTTTGACTAATAACAATAACGTTTATTAAGCATTTCTTACGTGTAGGCATTGTTCTAAGAACTTGATGTGTATTGGTTTATTTATCTTTATAACTAGTCTTTAAAGTAGGTACTATTTAAAATTTTTTTTAATTGATTATTTTAGAGAGAGAGGCAGGGGCAGAGAGAAACATTGATATGAGAGAGATACATAGATCAGCCGCCTCCTGCATGCCCCCTACTGGGGGTTGAGCCGGCAACCTGGGCATGTGCCCTGACTGGGAATTGAACCTGGACTTCTCAGTCCATGGGACAATGCTCAATCCATTGAGCCACACTGGCGGGGCATACAGTAGGTACTGTTCTTATCCCTATTCTACAGATGTGTGAATTGAGGCATGTTTTGTTGCTAGGATTTTAACTCAGGGAGGCTGGTTCTGGAGACTGCACTCTTAACCATAGACTAATGTTAATTATAGAAGTAATACATGCCCTTTGTAGCAAATATAAAAAGAGAGAATAAAAATAATGCATAGTCCTATTATCCAGAGACAAATGCTAACATTTTGGCATTTTATTTTTTTCTGCTTTTTTTTATTGTGGTTTATTATAGCATTACAAGATGCATTTTCCTCATGTTAATCTCTAAGTACAACTTTTTACAAAAAAAATCCTCACCCAAGGATATTTTTCCATTTATCTTCAGATAGAGTGGGAGGGAGGAAGGAACGGAGAGAGAGAGTGAGAGAGAGAGAAACTTCGATGTGAGAGAGATACATTGACTGGCCACCCCTGCATGACCCTGACCAAGGCCAGGGACAAACCGCAGCCAAGGCACGTGCCCCTGACCGGAATTGAACCCACAACTCATTGGTCTACAGGCTGATGCTCTAACTGCCGAGCCAAATTGGCCAGGGCTCTAAGTGTAACTTTTTTTTTTGGTATGTGCCCCTAGCGGGAACTGAACCCGGGACTCTAGTCCTCAGGCCAATGCTCCAATGCTGAGCCAAACCAGCTAGGGCAGTAACTTTTTTTTTAATCCTCACTTGAGGACATTTTTCCATTTATTATCAGATAGAGTGGGAGGGAGGGAGAGAGAGAAACATCGACTGGTTGCCTCCCACATGACGTTGACCAGGACCTGGGATGAACCACAACCGAGGTATGTGCCCTTGACCGGTCAAACCTGAGACTCTTTGGTCTGTGGGCCGACACTCCAACTGCAGAGCCAAACTGGCCAGGGCTCTAAGTGTAACTTTTTATTTTTATTTTTTTTATCCTCACCCGAGGACATTTTTTGTTCAGGTAGAGTGGGAGGGAGAGAGAGGAAGAGAAACATCGATGTGAAAGGGACACATCGAGTGGCTGCCACCTGCACGACCGACCAGGGCCGGGGACAAACTGCAACCAAGGTACATGCCCTTAGCGGGAACCAAACCCAGGTCTCTCGGGACCGCAGGCTGATGCTCTAACTGCTGAGCCAAACCGACCAGGGCTCTAAGTGTAACTTTTAATGGCTGCATCATATTGTATCAGAAAGCTGTACTATGATTTAAAAATTTTAATATTCCCCACTTACTATTTGTAATGTTTCTGGTTTTCTGGTATTCACTGTAACACCGAGAGGAACATCTTTTGTATCTAAAGCTCTTTGTGAATTTGGAATATTCCCTTAAGAAATGAAAATTTTAAGTCTCTTGATAAAAATTGTCAATTTTTTTCCCCAAATGTTTGTGGTGTGTTTTTTTTTCGTACGTGCCCCTCATGGGAGCCGAACTCTGGACTCTCTGGTCCGCAGGCGAACACTCCAACTGCTGAGCCAAACTGGCCAGGGCGGTTATGGGTTTTTTTTTTAAATCCTCACCCAAGGATATTTTTTCTATTTATCTTCAGATAGAGTGGGAGGGAGGGAGAGAGAGCGAGAGAGAGAGAGAAGATCGACATAAGAGGGACACATCGACTGGTTGCCTCTTGAACGACCCTGACTAGAGCCAGGGACGAACCACAACCAAGGTACATGTCCTTGACTGGAATCCAACTCGCAACTCTGGTCTGCAGGCTGACGCTGTAACCGCTGAGCCAAATTGGCCAGGGTGGTTGTGATATTTTATATGTGCACGAGCAATGGTTAATGAAGACTCAATGTATTAAGTGTTATTTATAGATAGCTTCTAAATTGATAGATTAAAAAATCTTTTAAATTTTTTTTTTTAATCCTCGCCCAAGAACATTTTTTCCATTGTTTTTTGGAGAGAGTGGAAGCAAGGGGCGGGGGGAGAAACATCGATGTGAAAGAGACACATAGAGTGGTTGCTTCTTACACATACGTCTGGACTGGGACTGGGACTGGGGGTTGAACCTGCATCCCAGGTTCATGTCCTTGACTGAGAATTGAACCCTTGACCCTTTGTTGTGTGGGCCAATGCTCTAACCACTAAGAAACACTGGCCAGGGCAAAAAATTATTTTAATGTTTGAATGTATTTTTCTGAGGTTTACTTCTGAGCTTGTTCATATGCATATTAATTGTGTATTGTTTTCTTTTTGAGATGTGTGTTCATTCTCTTTTGGGGTCTTGGTCACATTAAGATTGGTAGTTTTAGCCTCAGGATTGAGGTTGGATGTGTTTGGGGATCACAGTCCCTCTTCTTGGATGATTGTGAGGAAGAGGAGCAAGAATTGTAGACCATGATACTAAAGGGGAAAAGCACCCACTATCTCGTATCCTTCATTAAAGCCATGCAGGGACTTAAGCGGAAAGAAATTAGGCTCTCAGACCCATATACAGAGCATGCGTGAAGGGGAGCTGGATAAGTGTTGTTTTTTTGTTGTAAACAAATCAAAATGGTTTCTTAAAGATAGAGACGGGGTCCTGGCTGGTTTGGCTCAGTGGTTAGAGCGTTGGCCCGTGGACCAAAGAGTCCCAGGTTTGATTCCAGCCAAGGGCACGTACCTCGGTTGGGGTTCGGCCCCAGCCTCGGTTGGGGTCGTGTGGGTGGCAGCCAATCCATGTGTCTCTCTCACATCGATGTTTCTCTCTCTATTTCCCTCCCTCCCACTCTGTCTGAAGATGAATGCTAAAAAAAAAAAAAGAGACAGGATCTGTAGCATTTTTAGATCCCTGCTCAGTACCCAGCAGACTGTTATGTGGTAGACACTCTGTTATGAGTTTTTTCCTAAATTGACAACACTCAGTGCTGATCCTTTGCAGAAACCCAGTATAGCAGTGGAATATCTAGCAGCCCACCTCTCCAAAATCCATGGCCTGGACTGGCACCCAGATAGCGAGCACATTCTTGCGACCTCCAGTCAAGACAATTCTGTCAAGGTGAGTGGTACCCCAGTGGGGAGCTGTGTTTGGGTGGCAGCACTTTCTCTGAAGGGAAGCTACAGTATGTTAGCGTAGTGTGTATGTGTGTTTCAGGGGTGTATGTGTTTCTTGGGGAGCTGATCAAATAAACTTGGTTATATAGACCCGCAGGAGTGATGTAGTAGCATATATCTGATATGGCTCCTGGGTCCCTTTCCCCTTGTGAAAGGAAGGCAGAAACAAGCATTTAGAAAGGAAACAAATTTTACTTGCAAAGAAGTTGCCAGGAAGTCAGATTTCACAAGGACTGGCTCAGCAAAGAAAAAGCACAACAGATATATAAGTAAAGGAGAAAAGCCCACAGAATTGTTAGGGTTACCAAGTTTACCATTCGTTTATCTGGGGTGGAGAAACAGCCATTTTCTCATATGATTATTGCATCTGCAAAATTATGATATCTTCAGACATTAGCATTGCAGAAGTCAGGAAAAGAGTTGTTTTATTGGAGATTCTCTAACTTACAGGAAATGCTCAAGGTTTTATGTGTTTCAGTGACTCTATTATTTTTGGTTTATATCAGAGTGTAGAGTTTCCTGTTGTTTGTTTTTCTTTTCAGACTGTGGGATGTGATGTGCCCCCTTATTCAAAAGGATGCAGGGCAGAGTCAGTCTCGTTCTACAATTCCTGTTTGTGGTCAGGTCTCTGCTGGGAAGGACAGAGATTTGACCACAGAAATTTGCTTAGCAATTTTGTGATTTAGCATCATTAATTTAATGTTTTGTTTTATTTATGTAGGCATGTAAATATGGTTATGGTTAGCAAAACTAGAATCATACGCTAAGGCTTAAAAGTTAACTTCTGTCTTGAGGTTTGTAAATCCCCTAGGATTGTAATTTACATTTATGTGCCAGAAGTGGTTTTATTGTTTTTTTTTATTTTATTTGTATTTTTGTCTCCCAAACCCTCCTGCATTATATTGTCTTCCAAGTTCAGTAACCAGAAACCAACCAGTTCGCCTCTGCCTCTCTCTTTGAGGTCCCCAAGTTTGTCAGTGTTCATTGACATCTTTACTACCTGTGAGTCTGGGATTCCATAGGTAATAAAGCAGGTAATGGGCAAGTTCCATGTGTGAAACACAGTCCTTGTTCCTTACTCGTAGGTTTAGCTTATGAATTAAATGAGATTTTTGGCATGGTACTTTATTTATTCCACTATATTCTGGTAAGAAAGAAGACAGTTTTTTTTGAATGTATATAAATCATACAATTGTAAAAAGTAAAGTAATTTAGAGGCATGTTGCATAATTTTTAACCATTGTTCTTAGTGACGTGTAGATATGGATGAATATGTCACCCCTCCCCACATAATCATTTTCTTATGTTTATTTGTCAATTTACTAGCTTATAATTGGTAGTAATAATTTTTATTGTATTTTTAGTTTTTGAATTCTACAGAATCAGCTGAAACAAGATACTATTGAATGAGCATTTCACTTTAGTTTGTATATTGTTAACTGTAAAACTGTTGAATTGAGCGTTAGAGCTTGATCAAGAAAAATAGAAAAGGTTTTTTTTTTTTTGTTTTTTTTTTATGGCCATTAAAAATAGAACATTAGCCCTAGCCGGTTTGACTCAGCATTTGGAGCATTGGCCTGCTGTCTGGAGAGACCCGGGTTCGGTTCCCGCTAGGGGCACATACCTCGGTTGCAATTTGTCCCAGGCCCTGGTTGGGTCCTGCGGGTGGCAGCCACTCTATGTGTCCCTTTCACGTCAATGTTTCTCTCTTTCTCCCCCTCTCTCTCCCTCCCACTCTATCTGAACAAGGAATGGAAAAATGTCCTCGGGTGAGGATAAAAAAAAAAAGAACATTAACCATAGTGAGCTTGTTTTTTTCCTGATCTTGGTTTAAGCTGTCAATTTCACAAAGTTGCTTTCTTCTAGACTAAGAGTCCTAGAAATCCAGGCATGTCTTTTGGGTATGTTCTGACAGATGAGTGTCTGCCCATGGATCAAGGTCAACCTTATTGAGAATCGTGTACCCCTGAGGCTGTTCAAGAACCTGGTTCTTTTTTGTTGTTGTTGTTCTTTCTTTCTTGATTGAGGCCTGCCTTTTAAAAAAATTTTTTTTTCTTTATTGACTTTAGAGAGAGAGGAAGGGAGAAGATGAGAGAGAGAGAGAGAGAGAGAGAGAGAGACATCTATGAGAGAACATTGATTGGTCGCCTCCTGCATGACCCCCATTGGGGATCGGGCCCACAACCTGGGCATGTGCCCTGACCGGGAATCGAACTGGTGACCTCTTGTTTCATGGGTCGATGCTCAAACACTGAGCCACACTGGCTGTGCAGTTGAGGCCTTTCTTATAGTTCTTTAGAAAACTTTCTTTCTGATCTGTGGCTTGTAGCAGCGGTCCTTTGGCAGTGGTAAGAGAAAAGCAGAAATTACCCGCAGACGGGAGGACGGCATGGTTCTGATTATTTATTATAATAACCACCTCTATCAGATAAAACACAGTGAAGACCTCTATCACATATAACGTGATCATATCATAAGACTCCATCACTGATTGCTTTAAGAATAAGAATTTGTTATGAACAGTGAGGACCTTGTCAGATCTCCAGGGTCCTCCATTTTATTCCATTAATTATATATTACAATTGTCACCAATTGATAGCCTATTTAAACCTAGAAACAAAATCTTTTTTTTGAAAAAGAATTGATTTTGTTAATTGTCATGCTAGTCTTTGTAAATGAACACTGATGTGTTTCTTTCTAACCTGAAAAGTAAACAACTGAAATGCATTCATAGTAATGATATTTTACTTGTAGATAATTAATCAGGGAGGTTGAATTTCTCTTCTACTTGCTATTTTTTCACATATAGTAGACTTGATAGCGGGAAAGCATTGTATTGAGCTAATTGAAAATCTGGAGAATGCCAAGCCTACCTAATTATTTCTCGTTTCCCTTTTATAAGTTGAGGGAGCACGTTTCAGCTTGTTGTCTGGCCATCTGGGAAACTCAAAAGCAGTTTAGATGGAAAAGACATCTTAACAATTATATAATTTTGAAGATGGGGCCTGAATTTGGCAATAAAAAGATTTGTCAGAAGAAACAAGAACTATTGCATGCTATCATTTTATGGTCACACTCACCCCCAGCCCGTAACTTATGGTAAACACGGATCTGTTCTCTATCATTATAGCTTTGTCTTTTGAGAATGTCTTTACAGCCCTGGCCGGTTTGGCTCAGCAGTTGGAACGTCGGCCTGTGGACCAGAGAGTCCCGGGTTTGGTTCCCGCTAGGGGCACGTGCCAAAAAAAAGAGAATGTTATTACAATGGAATCATGCAGTGTGTAACTTTTTGGGTTGGCTTCTTTCATTCAGCATAACACCTTTAAGATTTGTCCAAGTTGTTTTAAGAATCAGTAGTTTGTGTACTTTTTTCTGCTGACTACTAATTCATTGTATGGATATACTACAATTTATCATCTGTTGACCCATTAGATGATATTTGGGCTGTTTCCAGTTTTTGGTGATTGTATATAGAGCTACTATAACCATGATGTATAGATTTTTTTGGTGTGTGTGTGAATAGAAATGTTCAGTTTTCTAGGACAAATATATAGGAGTGGGATTGCTGGGTCTTATGGTAGGTGTGTGTTTAACTTTTGAAGAAACTGCCAAACTGTTTTCCAGAGTGACTTTTGTCTCTTTGTGAAAGTAATTTCTTAATACCCAAATAGTTCAGAGTTTACTCTTGGTCTTTCTGCCTTTGGTGCTCTGTCATTTTCTTCTTTTGTGACAAGTGCTGATCTCTAAGTGTATTTATCTCTCCACTGAAAGCATAGGTATCATCTCTAAGGTAGAGTTTGTATCTGGCTCACCTTTGTGTAACTGTATCTTCAAGTTCCACACCTTCCGTGTAAGCGTGGGTGGATGAGCGTGTATTGAGTGGGTAGGTGCTCTTGCAGATAGTCGCACAGCCACATTTTTCCTGTGTGACCTTGGGCAAGTTGCATGGGTTAGTAATTTAGCTTCTCCATTTGCAAAAGAGATTGATCACACCCATTATATGGTTCTTGTAAAGATTAAATGGGATAAAACACTTCAAGCTCTAAACATTTGTCTGAAAAGTAATAAGTAATCAGTACATTTCAGTTATTGTTATTACTCTACTTGTTGTTAAAGTGATAACAACAAGGGGTGAAAACATGTCACTCTTACCTTTCAGCTATAAATCTTGTTTAATAGGCAGGCTGACAGTGATCTGCCCTGAGGGTGGAAGTCTGAAAATTCTCCTGTAGTGTTTATGAATGTGAAAGGGAGGTTTTCTTTGTGTCTGTATCACAGCAGCGTGGCTGTGGGGCTGGCTGAACTGCACTATTGAAATGTATCTTTAGAGGATAGAACAATGAGTTCAGAAGCTGCTCATATTTTAGTAGCTGTTTTTAAATGGCATTTAATTTACAAATTTTCTTTCTTTCTTCCAGTTCTGGGATTACCGGCAGCCTCGAAAATACCTCAATATTCTCCCTTGCCAGGTGCCTGTCTGGAAGGCCCGATACACTGTGAGTGTGGCGCCTGTCTTGTGCCGGGAACTTCCGTCTCGGTGTTCCAGACTCCAGGGCCCAAGGGCCGTTTCTTGTTTTCTCTATGGGGCAGTTTTCTCTTTCTGTCTTGATTTAGGAGTGGGAAAAAGGTGGTCATGATGGCATGAAAGATGTTATCTACTTTTTTTTTTTTTTAATTTGCCCTTGAAATGTTGGGTAAGAATTTGTACTAAAATTGCGAACCATAGATAGACTGGGAAGCTGGTAGCGTGAAGGAATCACTGGTGGCAGGGGAAGAGGGTGAGAGGGAAGCAGAGGGTTGAGAGGCTTGTGGTCAGTGGGTTGTGGTGGAAAGAACTCTGGCTTTAGGTTCAGAAGACCTGGGTTTTGGGTTCAGCAGTGCTGTGTAATTTCCCCCCAGCTTGGTTGAGCTGTAATTGACATATAACACTGTGCAAGTTCAAGTTGTACAACATGTTGATTTGATACACTTACATGCTGCAAAACTATAACCACGATAGCATTAGCTAATACCTCCATCACATAATTACTGTTTCTTTTTTGTGATTAGAACATGTAAGATCTACTCTCTTAGCAACTTTCAAGTATGTAGTATAGCGTTGTTAACTATAATCACTATACTGTACATTAGCTGTCCAGAACTTGATCATCTTCTAATTGGAAGTTTGTGCCCTCTGACCAACATCTCCGCTTCTCCTCCACCTTTCCGCCCCGGTAGCCTATTCTGTTCATTGTTTCTATGAGTTCAGCTTTTTTAGATTCCACATATAAGTGATATCATACAGTATTATCTTTATCTGACTTATTTCACTTAGCATAATGTCCTCAAGGTTCATCCACATTGTGGTAAATGGCAGGATTTCCTTCTTTCTCACAGCTGAACAATATTCCAGTGTGTGTGTGTCACATTTTTGTCCATGCACCCATTGATGGATGACTAGGTTGTTTCCATATTTTCATATCTTGGCTATTGTGAATAATGCTGCAATGAGATATTTAGTATTTGTGTGGCCTTGAGCAAACCACTTGATGTTTTTGAGCAGTTGTTTTCTTTGTAAAATATGAATAATTTTTGCAGTGCCTTTTTTTATTTTTATTGTGATAAAAGTCACCATTTTAAAGTGTGTAATTCAGTGGCATTTCATACATGCACAATATGCCTTTCTTTTGAAAAATTGTATATGAAAATGCTTTATAAACCATAAAATGCTACGAATATAGGGGGTAGGCTATTACCAACCTTCCAACGATTTTTCCCATTGCCACCTTGATAGCTGCTGATCAGAGGTAATATATTACTCTTAGTGTCAGTTTGAAAGGGAGCACAGGGATGAATAAAGCTACTTTTATACATTAGGCTATCACCCTGGGGCTTTGTGGAGCACAGAGGATAATTTGGGTATTGAGTGGCTTTTCCATGTGGGAACACTTTTCAATAGCAGATGTTGACAACAACAGATGTTCATTTTTTTCCTTTTAATAACTAATTTTTTTTTTTTTTTTTAGAGGGAGAGGAAGGGAGAAGGAGAGAGAGAAACATTGATGTGAGAGTACATCAGTTGGCTGCCTCCTGCTTGCCCCTTATGGAGTATTGAGCCTGCAGCCCAGGCATGTGCCCTTGACCGGGAATTTATCTGGCAACCTCCTGGTGCACTGGACAACACCTAACCAACTGAGCCACGCCAGTCAGGACAGATGTTGTTCTTATGAACTGAAATACTTCTCTGGATTAATATATTTGCTTTAGAAAAAAATAAACAAAAGCCCTGGCAGGTTTGGCTCAGTGGTTAGAGTGTTGGCCTGTGGACCGAAGGGTCATAGGTTTGATCCCCAGCCCTGGTCGGGGTTGTGCAGGAGGCAACCAATTGATCAGTGCTTCTCTCTCCCTCTCTTCCTCTCTCCCTCCCTCCCTTCCACTCTATCTAAAAATCAGTGGAAAAATATCGTTGGGTGAGGATTAACAAAAAATAAAATAAAATACAGAGAAGTCTAGGAGTGCTTCCAAGAGGAGAGGTGGAGATAAATGTGCTCTTAGGTGATGATGGTTTATTCTTTAAAGAACAGTGTCTAATCATCAGTCAAATGGGCCCCATAGCTACCTAGCAGATTGGGTGTTGATAAGCAAAATTATCAGACCTCAAACTAACTAGGAGGGGTTTTTTGAATAGCCTTAGTACTTGGGGCAGTGGGCAGGCTGTGCTTCATGTGGATGGTAAGCCCCTGGTGCATTTCCACAAGCCAGGAATGGTGATTGCTGCTCTGGGCTTTTTTCCCAGTGTGCCTTTCATGCTCACTCGGGAAAGTGCTGGATAACTCATAGAGGGAGATCGGGGGAGTAGCTAGGGTGTGAAACAGTGTGTTCCTGTGTGCAATAGTCAAAGCCATATTTTAGAATATTTTTTAAGTTCAAGTATTTGGCTTAGTTTTATTATTATTTTTTTTGTACTTGCTGTGGTCCCTTCCAGAAGCAAAGAAAAGTAGATGGTGATGGTCAACTTATGGTATTGGAAAATTTTTCCCAAGGTGGGTTGGGATCTTTCATCATCCAGTTTATTTTAGGAAATAATTCCACCTTTGTTACTGGGGGCTCAGCTAATTTCTTCCTGGAATCATCACCTGCTTTTCCCTTTCTTGCCATAGCCTTTCAGCAATGGATTAGTAACTGTGATGGTTCCCCAGCTGCGGCGGGAGAATAGTCTTCTCTTATGGAATGTCTTTGACTTGAACACTCCAGTCCATACCTTTGTGGGGCACGATGACGTGGTGCTGGAGTTCCAGTGGAGGAAGCAGAAGGAAGGTGAGTCGGAATGAGCACCGCTGCCTGATTTCCTTTTGAACCCTGTTCAACAGCAGCTTGGTTAGGGTCGGCTGTGTGATCCAGTGTGAAGGATGCAGGAACAGGGCTAGGCTTTAGGAAAGAGAGAGTCAGGGGTCCACCACCTTGAATCATAATAGGTAAAGGGGTATATAGGCTGTGAATCTTCTCCTAAGTTTCCTCTTCTTCTCTTACGTTCAGTCTAGTCTCTCCTGTGTGGAAGAGATCTATAAGAAATTGATAGACTTGCTGTTGCATCATTTGTAGGGCTGAAAACTCTGGGGTCACTACCTTCAGAAGCTTCTGACAGTTGCCTCTTGTCACTCTGTTGATGAGGGAGACCTGAGGTCATCACTGCCCACCACATATTCCTAGTCACATCACAAACCCATAGTGATATTTTACCTTCCATCCCCTTGAAGGTAAGTTTGGCCAAATGACATGCTTTGAACATGAAACATGAAAGATGATGTGGCCTTTTCTGGTTGAAGTATTAACAGCCGGTGTGCAATTACACGCTGTCATTGCCTCTGCCACGGCAGCTGGTCACACTCCAGATGGAGCTGCTCCGGTCAGGAGTAAGGATGAGGAAGAGTGAGCATGAAATCCTTGCTTTAAGCTACTGAGATTTGGGGTTGTTTGTTATGACTTCTTAATCAGCCAGCCCTCACTAATGTAGGGTCAGAATAAAATGGGAGTCAGGAAGCCCTCAGCCTCAGTTTCTCCACCAACTCACCGTGCAAGTATAGTTGCAGTCTCTCTTTTCTTGAGATCTTCTTGCCACACCCTAAATATTTTACAGAACAGAACTATATATCTTGGTCTCTCCGTGTCACAGAAGGAAAGCCAGGCAGTGGAGAGGCGTGACCTGGGATTAGAGCAGCCATCTTCTTACCCCTTGTCTGTGGCCCTCACAAATCTCTTCCAGGATTGTTTTTGAAAGAACTCTTGATCATCCTCTTAATTTTCCCATCTTGATTTCTGTAATCTCTCTTGCTTCTAGAAACAAGAAGCTGTTTGGTCTTTACCCCATTAAGTTTCAAGCATGACTTTGGCTTTCAACTTATTCTCTTGCATTTTGCTGTAGTGAATAGATGATGGAGTTTCCCCATTTTCTGTCTGTCAGGGAGAGTTTGGAGTGTAGTTGTGGATTGAGATAAAATATTTTTAGTAACCAGTTTTCAGTTATCTATGTCTGTATGCCAGTAGGGTGGAGTATGTAAATTGGAACTGTCTACCAGTAGTGAAATTTTGAGCACAAGTTATAGGTATTTTTTTTTAAAAATTCATTTTTATTGTGAAATATACTACTTATCCAGAAAATTGCATAAAACACATAGTTTAAAAAATAATTATAAAGTGAAAATTTATGTAACTACAACCAAGGTCAAGGAAAAGCTTTCTGATCATAATACCCTCTCTTCCCCAGAAGTAAATGCTGTCCTAATGCATGTTGCAGTGACTTCTGTTTCTACCTTTTGATTTTTACCACCCATTTTTGCACTTCTCAAAATAGTTTAGGTTTGTTTGTTGTTGAACTTTTTGTGAATGTAATCATCCTTCACGTATTCTTGTATTTTACTTTTTTATTTTTATGGCCACATCTTCTTAGTATTTTTTTTTTTAATCCTCACCCGAGGAAATTTTTGCATTTACCTTCAGATAGAGCAGGAGGGAGAGAGTGGGGAAGAGAGAGAAACATCAACGTGAGAGAGACACATCGAGTAGCTGCCACCCACACGACCCCAACTGGGGCCGGGGACAAACTGCAACTGAGGTACATGCCCTTAGCCAGAACCAAACCTGGGATTCTCTGGTCCGCAGGCCGACGCTCTAACTGCTGAGCCAAACTGGCCAGGGCTGAAATAGCCTTTAAAGGCAAGGAATAGACTAGGTTGGTTGGCAGAAGCTGTTGTCCTCTCTATTTGAAGGCGAGGAGAAAACGCCAGAAAGGGAGTATGTGGGAAGGCAAGGGCCCTTTGAAAATGAGACAGAGCCCAGCTGGTGTGGCTCAGTGGATTGAGCGTAGTCCCATGGGCTGAGAGGTCCCAGTTCAATTCCCAGGCAGGGCACATGCCTGGGTTGTGGGCTCAGTCCCCAGTGGGGGGCGTGCAGGAGGCAGCCGATCAATGTTTCTCTCTCACATTGATGTTTCTCTTTCTCTCTCTCTCCCTCCCTCCCTTCCACTCTATCTGAAAATCAATGGAAAAATATCCTTGGGCCCTGGCCAGTTTGGCTCAGCGGTTAGAGCGTCGGCCTGCAGTCCGGAGAGACCCGGGTTCGGTTCCCGCTAAGGGCACGTACTTCGGTTGCAGTTTGTCCCCGGCCCTGGTTGGTCGTGCGGGTGGCAGCCACTCGATGTGTCCCTTCACGTCGATGTTTCTCTCTCTCTCCCTTCCTCTCTCTCCCTCCCACTCTATCTGTACAAAAAAGAAAAAATATCCTCGGGTGAGGATAAAAAAAAAAAAAAAAAAAAAAAAAAAAAAAAAAAAAAAAATATCCTTGGGTAAGGATTTAAAAGAAAGAAAATGAGACAGAATAGGGCTGAAGGCATAAACAGAGGAGTTGAGTTTAGAAAGGACTTAGGTATAACTTTTCTTCAAAGTCAGGGATGTGAAAAGAAGCCAGATAGGGAGTCAGAAAGTTGTTGCTGTGAACATGAGTCTAGATGTTGGAACTTCTAACAGGCACTAGTGCAGAATAGCTTTTGACTTGTTCGGTTTGCACAGGGATATATTAAAACACCTATTCAAGGCAGTGACAGAGAAGGATTTTTTTTTTTTTTTTTTTGCATTCATCTTCAGCTAGAGTGGGGGGGGAGAGGCGGGAAGAGAGAGAGAGAAACATCGATGTGAGAGACACATCAAATGGTCGCCACCCACACAACCCCAACCAGGGCTGGGGACAAACCGCAACCGAGGTACATGCCCTTAGGGGGAACTGAACCCGGGACTCTGCGGTCCACAGGCCGGCGCTCTAACCTCTGAGCCAAACTGGCCAGGGCCAGAGAAGGAATTTTTGTGTCACACTCACCTCGTTAGCTTGGACAGATTGTATTGTTTTTTGTTTTGTTTTTTATCCTCACCCGAGGACATTTTTCCACTTTTTGTTCAGGTAGAGTGGGAGGGAGAGAGAGGAACAGAGAGAAAGAGAGAGAAACATCGATGTGAAAGGAACACATCGAGTGGCTGCCACCCGCACAACCGACCAGGGCCGGGGACAAACTGCAACCGAGGTACATGCCCTTAGCAGGAGCCAAACCCGGGTCTCTCGGGACCGCAGGCCGACGCTCTAACCGCTGAGCCAAACCGGCCAGGGCGGGCAGATTGTATTGTTTCCTCAGTTTCCCCATCTGTGAAATGAGGGAATTAGTGAAATTACTTCTAAGTTCTTTGCTCTCTGAAGATGCCATAAAGGAAATTCTAGATACTACAAAATTACCCTGATCTTTCATAAAGCACCCTGAGCCTTTCCGAATGATTTCCCTTTGAGCTGACCTAATATGTGAAAATATAATTCAGTCAACTCAGAACATTAAAGATTTATTATTCATTTTATAAACAGATATATGCATCTCCTTACCAAAAAATTATTTTTAAACAGTTGACCTGATGCATTTGAAATAATTCATTTTATAAAAATTATATTCATCCCCAGCTCCTCTGGAGCATATAAAAGAAGAACATCTGTGGAGGTGAAAGTTTAATGTGGCATTAAACCCCGGCATCAATCTTCACCTGCTAATTTGCTAGTTATTATTTCACTTCATTTAAGTTTGTGCTCAAATGTGACTTCCTCCGGGAGTCAGGTCTAAAAATAGCTTCCCCGTCAGTCTCTGTCCTCTTATCGTGTGTGTGTGTGTGTGTGTGTTTGTTGTTGTTTTAGTAACACGATCACTGCCAGACATTTTATTATATATTTATTTGTTTGTCTGTTTCCACCATTGGAATGGATCTATAAAGACAAAGATTATTGTATTCATGCTATAGTCCTAGTGGCTAGAACAGTGCCTGGCATATAGATGTTCAATAAATATATGTTGAATGGATGTATAAATGAGTGAATGAATCTCCATTGCAACCTGTAGCAAAATTGAAGTTGAATCCAGAAAAATTTCCAGAATTTTTATTTGTTGATTTCTAGGGTCCAAGGACTACCAACTGGTTACGTGGTCACGGGATCAGACCTTGAGAATGTGGCGAGTGGATTCCCAGATGCAGAGGGTATGTATTCATTGCCATGTGGACAAATGTAACCAGATACACTAGAAACTTAAAAAAAATACAAAATTTGGTATTTGTGGAAGTTAGAGAATACATGGTAGATATTTAATACATACTTGCTGGTTGGCTGAGTGGCTTGTGTATGCCACACTGAGGCTTTGAGGTCTTCAAGAGTCAGTTTCAGTATTCAGCATTTAAAGGCTGAAAAATCTCTGAATGTCTTTTTTTCTCTTATCCTGGTATAAGGGTGTGGGTAGCATACTGAGCAAACGGTCTGTGTGGGGGCTTCATTTCTTTCTCTTCTAAATGGGCTAGGAAATTGACTCTGGCACTATGCAGTGTTCAGAGCCCTCTGCGTCTATCAATGATGCCTGCTCTGTGAAGCCCTTTCTAGTTTTTGCCCCATGAATGATATCTATTTCTTATATGAACCACAGTGGTAGCTGGTATGAACTGTTTTGCTCTGCCTCATCTCAGGGTTCTATCTTCTCATTTGGTGGCTACATTTCTTGAAGGCATGAACCGTGTCTCACTTGTATTGCCTCTCCCACAACACTCTGTACAGAGTGGATAGAAAATGCTAGATAAAATTTTCAGCACTGCTTAGTGTACAAAGTCATTCTTCAGCATTTTTGTCAATTATCATCACCTTATTGCCTTTCAGATCTATTTTCTCCAAAAAGTACCATTTGCTCTAAATGCCCTGAAGGTTATGATATTTGGGGGGTTAGCCAAATAACTCCATCAAGGCTTAAAATTCAAAATAATGTTTTCTGAGGCTTGCATAAACTATGATCAAAATGAAAAAATTTCAGAGTAGAATAATAGAGTCTATTCTTCCATGTATTTAACAAAGGAGAGTTGGTGATGGATAAAACCTACTTTGATTATATCAGATTTTTTTAGAGAGAGAGGAAGAGAGAGAGAGATAGAAACATCGATATGAGAAAGATACATGGATCGGCTGCCTCCTGCACGCCCCGTCCTGGGGATCAAGCCTGCAACCCGGGCATGTGCCCGACTGGGAATCGAACCGGGACCTCTCAGTCCATGGGGCGGTGCTCAATTCACTGAGCCACACTGGCTGGGCTGTTTCAGTTTGTTTAAAATTGATTTTTAGAAAGAGAGGAAAGGAGAGGAGGAGAGAGACAGACAGACAGAGAGAGAGAGACACCAGTCGGTTGCCTCCTGCATGCCCCTTATTGGGGATCAAGCCTGCAACCCCAGCATGTGCCCTGACCGGGAATCAAACTGGCAGCCTTTCAGTGCACAGGACATTGCTCAACCAACTGAGCCACACTGGCCAGGGCTGTGATTCCCATTTTTAGGTCAGAACTCCAACCAATCATGATGACCCTTTCCACTGACTTCTCTAGATCTGGATCTTCTACCCTTTGTTGCAGCTTTGTGCAAATGACATATTAGATGGTGTTGATGAGTTCATCGAAAGCATTTCTCTTCTGCCGGAACCAGAGAAGATCCTTCACACTCAAGACACAGATCACCAGCACAACTCAAGCCATGGAGAGGAAGAAGGTAATTTGGTCAGATTGATGTTTTAGGTGAGGTGTCCTTTATGCATTTCAGACACCTTAGATCTGCTCTCTGACTCAATTTCAAAGATGTCTGACAATAGTTGAATCTCTCTCTCTCTTGCTAGTCTTAAAGGAAGACCTCCCGAGCAATCTCCTGGAAGAGAAGAAATCGGATCAACCAGGACTACCTCAGACTCTGCAACAGGAGTTCTCCCTGATCAATGTGCAGATCCGGAATGTCAATGTGGAGGTACCTTGAGTTTAATGAATTGTTTTTCATGCTTGCAGATGGCAATTGGTGGGAGAGGGGACTAGTTCAGCTATGATTTCAGCTAGCAAATAACTTTGCTGCTCTAATAGATAAGTCTCTCTGCTTATTTTTTTATTTCCTAATTTCTAAAGAAATTGATGTTTTAGCCGTGGCTGGTAGCTCAGTGGTTAGAGCATTGCCCTGCAGACCAAAATTTTGTGGGTTCTCTTCCCAGTCAAGGGCACGTACCTGGGTTGCAGGTTCGATCTCTGGCCCTGGTCAGGGTCATTTGGGAGGCAACCAATTGATGTTTCTCTCTCTTCCTATCCCCCCCGCTCCCCTTTCCTACCACTCTCTAAAAAAATCAATGGAAAAATATCCTCGGGTGAGGATTAACAACAACAACAAAAATGCAAATGTTTATTCCTAACTATATTAGTTTCTCATAAAATGAACTGATGCTTATGTGTCTTAAAATCTTAGATGCTCTGACACCTCACTTTACCATCTGTGAAGATACTTAGATCCATGAATACTTAGTGATTTGGCTAAAGTTACTGGTGAAGTTAATAGTGGAGCTGAATTTGGAGCCCAAGCCACTTAACTCTCCAGGGCTTTTTGTGCTTTGCTGTCCAATCTTTCCTTAAAGCTGGTCATGCTCTTGGTGATTTAGATACATAGTAAGAATGTGAGAAAACCTCTTTGTTCACTTCACCCATGGAGAGGTTTACTCTTCCTTTTGGGCAGATAATGAAATTCTTTGCTTTAGAGAATTGAGTCTCTCTCTTTAAAGGAGTTTGCAAACTTGGTTAGTTTTTCTTTTGCCCAGATTCATTTAACCGTAAGCATGGATATGTGCACTTACATAATTATCTCATTCGGCCTTTAAAACGACCCTGCAATAAGTGCTTTTATCCCCACTGAGGAAACGAGACACTAAGAGATGAAATGACTTGTCCAAGGTCAGCAGCTATTTGATGGAAGAGATAATACTTGAATCCAAGTCTCCAGATTTCTCACATGTGTGGCTCTTCACTCTGCTCCTGGTGTCTTCTCTGGTTGGCAGCACAAGAAATCAAAAGAGATAAAGAATTCTTAGATTAATTGGTTATGTGTATCAACTGAGTTTATACATGTTTGTCCCAGTTGAAAACAATGTGGATACCTGGCAATCTAGTTTAATCTTGATCACTTTCCTAGGAGTGCTTTTAAACATTATTGAGAGCCTGGCTGGTGTGGCTCCGTGGTAGAGCATCGACCCATGCACCAACAGGTCGCCAGTTCGATTCCCAGTCAGGGCACATTCCCAGGTTGTAGGCCAAATCCCCAGTGGGGGGCATGCAGGAGGTGGCCAATCAATGTTCTCTCTCTTCAGTGTTTTTATCTCTCTACCTCTCCCTTACTCTCTCTCTCTAAACATCAATAAAGAATAAAAAAAAAATGTTACTGAGATATAATTCACATACCATAGTTTACCCTTTTAAAGTGTATTACTTAGTGGTTCTCAATATATTCACAAAATTGGGCAATTATTGCCGCTGTTTAATTCCAAAGTATTTTCATCATCCCAAAAGAAACCCTATATCCATTAGCAGTTTTTCCCCATTTTCCTGTCTGCCTACCTCCTGGCAACCACTAACCTGTCCATTTCTGTGGCTTTCCCAGAAATACTTTTTAAATTGAGTCAGGTATTTAACTTCCTCCTGCTTTATTTTCCTTTATCAAAATTAACTTAGGCTTCAGCCTACCTCACAACTTTAGGATGAAGCTTTTTTAAGTCAGAATACTTTGAACTTATTAAATTGGTGCTAAAATTAATGAGTTGTCCAAATCTTCCAAATTAGTTTGTTTTTGGAGATTCTACCTTCATGTTTGGAGATTTCAGGAACTAGGAGCATTCATTTAGGTGATTTAAATCAATTTGCATCTAAAGACTCTTTCTGGTTCGTCCAAAGCAGTTGTCAATTTGCCCCTTGCAGATGGACGCAGCAGATAGGAGTTGCACAGTGTCAGTGCACTGTAGCAACCATCGTGTCAAGATGCTGGTGAAGTTCCCTGCGCAGTACCCAAACAATGCTGCCCCCTCCTTCCAGTTTATCAACCCCACAACCATCACGTCCACGATGAAAGCGAAGCTGCTAAAGGTGGGATCTGTGTTCACACATTCTCCTTGATGTTTGTCAGAGAGCTGTGCTCCTGAGCATGAGTGAGTTGAGTAGTAAGGTTGAATGAAAACACTGTCAGGTAATATTCGGAACTCATCTGACCTGATACACTGCAGTGTTAACACTTGCTATTCATTTTGTGTAGAAAACATTAGAGCAGTGGTTCTTAACCTTTTTGGGTCATGGACACCCTTTGAAAGTCTAATGAAAATGATGGACCCTTCTCAGAAAAATCTGCACAAATGTGGGATATAAGTTCAGAAATATTGTCTATGAATAATATGCAGCTCTATAATTGCATGTAATCTGCTCAGAGATCTCATTAAAACTATGTATTAATCCTAGGTTAAAAACCTTGCAATATATTTTCATTTATCTGGAAACAATAGGCAATATATATTTTGAAGATAAAAGATGTTTTGTAATCAGAAAAAAATGCGTAAGGTCATTTAAAACATCTATTCCATAACAAGAGACTGCCATCCTCATGTGAGGTGGCTGGCTGCACAGGTGGGTGTGAGAGGAGGGCAGTGCCTGAGGAGGTGGGGCAGCCTGGCATCTGGTCTTGACCCCTGCAGGTTCATGCAGAGCAAGTCAGGTAGAATTCCCATGAGGAAGCGCCCTGAGCTGAGGATGACATGCCTTTGCAGTGGGAGCAGCATCACATAATGAAGTAACTGTGATGTTCTGACAAATCAAGTTGACCCAGATGCTGTTCACTTTATGCCCAGTTTGTTTCATATGTACTTAATCTATCTTCTTGGAGTGTGATTTGTAATAAAAAAATTTTATTTTATTTTTCAATTGCATTTTATATTCAGTATTATTGTTTGAATGTATTATTGTTGAATGTATTACAGATATCCCTCCTTTTTTCCTCCATTAACCCCCTCCTCCCGATTCCCGCCCCCCCTCCTGCCTTCCCCACACTATTGTCTGTGTCCATTGGTTATGAATATATGCATAGCAGTTCTTTGGTTTATCTCTTCCAGCTCCTTCCTCCCCACTTCCCTTTGAGGTTCGACAGTCTAACAACCAATTTGTACTTCTTAATTGTTTTGGTTTTAGGTGTACAGCATAGTGGTTACACAGTCATACACGTTACAAAGTGGTATTTCTAATACCAATCTGGTACCATACCTGGTTATATAGTCAAAAAATGTTTGTTTGTTATTTATTTATTTATTATTTTTTAGACTGTGCAGTTCAACTTTTTTATTTTAATAAAATCAGAATATGCACAGTGCATGCAGTGCTAGCATATAAACTAGTACAATAAGCAATTACTAAAGCTACAGTGACTTGAGGTTCAGTCCTTACATTCACTAAGCTTAAATCTTTTCTTACATTTTTGAAACCTTATACTGAAAATATTGCTCATTAATAGAACTTGCTCAAATGCTGTTGCTGAATGTACAAGTCACTGATTATTCCAATACAACAAAGATAACCACATGTTTGAGGATTGCAGTGTGAAGAAATGGTTAAAGTGTAAGGATCTCTGAAATGCTAATTACTCAGATTTTGTGGTATTTGACATTTTGTTCTTAGAATTTGAATATTTCATTGTCTCGTTTGGATATACAAAAAGGATAGACTCTTCTTTTGGTATAAAAATGATAGGATTAGGAGATATCTTTAAAGGTTGAATTCGGTGCTGTCCAATACATTATTATATGCCACATGAAATTAAAAAATTTTTAGTAGTAGCCCTGGCAGGTTTGGCTCAGTGGTTAGAGCATCGGCCCAGGCGGACAGTTCTGGTTAAGGGCACGTTCCTGGGTTGCAGGTTTGATCCCCGGCCTTGATCTGGATTGTGCAGGAGGCAACCAATCTGTGTATCTCTCTCATATGGGTGTTTCTCTCTCTCTCTCTCCCTCCTTTCCTTCCACTCTCTCTAAAAAAAATCAATGGAAAAACATCCTTAGGTAAAGATTAACAACAAGCAGAAAAAGTTTCTAGTAGTCACACTAAAAAAAAAAAAAAAAAATTTTTTTTTAGATGTTTCTCCTTTTCCCCATTGACACCCTCTTCCCCATCCCCCCCACCCCATACCCGGCTTTGTTGTCTGTGTCCATCGGTTATGCATACATGCATATAAGTTCTGTGGTTTATCTCTTCCCTCCCCCCACCACCCCCTCTTCTGAGGGTTGTCAGTCTATACCCTACTTCCATGTCTTTGGGTCTACGCAATTTTTCAGACTGTTATGTTCATTATATTCCACAAATAAGTGATATCATGTGATACTGGTCTTTCTCTGCTTGGCTTGTTTCGCTTAGGATAATACTTTCCAGGTCCCTCCATGTCGTCTCAAAGGATAAGAGATCTTTTTTTCTTAGAGCTGCATAGTACTCCATTGTGTATATGTACCACAGCTTTTTTATCCATTTGTCTACTGATGGATATTTGGGCTGTTTCCAGATCTTAGCTATTGTAAATAGTGCTGCTATGAACATGGGGGTACATATATTCTTTCTAATTGGTGTTTCAGGCTTCTTAGGGTATATTCCTAGAAGTGGGATCACTGGGTCAAATGGCAGTTCAATTTTTAATTTTTTAAGGTAATACCATATTGTTTTCCATAGTGGTTGCACTAGTCTGCATTCCCACCAGCACAAGAACAGGCAGATAGATCAATGGAACAGAATAGAGAATCCAGAAATGGACCCAAGACAATATGCTCAATTAATATTTGACAAAGGTGGCGAGAACATACAGTGGAGTAAAGAAAGCCTCTTTAATAAATGGTGTTGGGAAAATCGGACAGCTACATGCAAAACAGTGAAACTAGACCATCAACTTACACCATACACAAGAATAACCTCAAAATGGATAAAAGACTTAAATGTGACTTATGAATCCATAAAAATCCTAGAAGAAAATGTAGGCCACAAAATTTCAGACATCATGTGCTGCAGAATTTTCACTGATACATCACCTAAGGCAACAGAAACAGAGGAGAAAATGAACACATGGGACTACATCAAACTCAAAAGCTTCTGCACAGCCAAAGAAACAACCACCAAAATGGAAAGGCAACCCACTGTATGGGAGAACATCATTGCCAATGATACATCAGATAAGGAGTTAATTTCCAATATATATAGACTGCTCATACAGCTCGACAAAAGGAAGACAAAGAACCCAATTAAAAAATGGGCAGAGGAACAAAATAGGCACCTCTTCAAACAGGACATACAAATGGCTAAGAGACATAAGAAGAAATGCTCAACATCACTAATCATCAGAGAGATGCAAATTAAAACAACAATGAGGTATCACCTCACACCTGTCAGAATGGCCACCATCAACAAATCATCAAACAACAAGTGTTGGCGAGGGTGTGGAGAAAAGGGGACTTTAGTACACTGCTGGTAGGATTTATATTTTTAAAGAACCAAAAAAGGGATACATTATAACTTTCACTAAAGTGAAATCTGTTCCCCTGGCTTATTATATGTGTCACTCAGAGCAATTTTCAGTTCAGCCCAGTGGGTGTTACTTCTAAGGTACTGAGATTTCTCATGGGCGGGGATAGGAGAGGAGGAAAGGAATAGAATTCACTGTAAGTAAAGAATATTCATTCCATTACTAGAAACATGCCCTGTCAAAACTACCGTGTGTACCTTCCTAAGGAAATGGCTTCTTGAAGTGGTCTCAGAAATGAATCTTCTCTGAGCGTCTAGAGAAGGTGGAAAGTAGGTCGCTGTGTGGGAAGCCTCAGGCACAGCCAGGCTTCCAGTCTCCCTCCATCTTCATACTTCCTCCAACTGCTTTGAAGAATAAAAGCGAATCAGGAGAAAGAATGTTGCTATTCTTGACAGTGTTTTGTGTCTTTTCAGATCCTGAAAGACACTTCCCTGCAAAAAGTAAAACGCAACCAGAGTTGTTTGGAGCCCTGCCTGCGCCAGCTCGTCTCCTGTCTTGAGTCTTTTGTGGTGAGATTCTTGTACCACCCGATGCTTTAGTGTTTGTTTCATTTCTTCCTCCCTTAACTCCTGGGCACCCTGATTCTGTAATAATGTGTCTTTATTTTGTAATTCAGCTTTGAGACAAGTTGTGGTTTTTAGTCTGTTGATTTTTAAATTTCAGAATCAAGAGGACAGTGCTTCCAGCAACCCCTTTGCGCTCCCAAACTCCGTCACACCACCCTTGCCTACCTTTGCTCGGGTAACCACTGCCTATGGTTCATACCAGGATGCCAATATTCCCTTTCCTAGGACCTCGGGGGCCAGGTTCTGTGGAGCAGGTTGGTATCTTTTTGGTTCTCTGATTCTAGATTTTGAGAGAGAGCATTTTTCCTTTGTTTTTATTTTCTGAGAACGCAAAAAGACTTCTGTAGTAGTGTAATATGATCTGATGCTAGATTCGCGTCTGTGGACATATCCTATGAATGTTCACCAGAATTACAGTCTTGAGAGTGTGGATTTGAGTTTTACTCAGTCTTGATTCTTAACAGAGGACAGGTCCCCTACCCAGGTAATATAAAATACCTGTGAAGACTTTCCAAATTATGTATATCCCATTTCTCCTGGATTCTGGAGATTCTGATCTTTGTCCTTGTTAAGTATGGCTGCAGTCATGAGCCTTTGCACTTCACAGAAATGTGTCCTGTCCTTCAGGTATATTGAGATAGACAAAAGATTGACTAATGCTACCTTAGGATTTTCCATTACCAGCTCATTGACCTTGATGTGTATATGTGATATCTCCTTTATCAGGGTATCTGGTGTATTTTACAAGGCCTATGACAATGCATCGAGCGGTTTCTCCGACAGAACCTACTCCGAGGTCAGTGTGGGAGATACAGATGTAGCTACATTCATGATGTGGGCAGACATCTGGGAATGACCACTGAGTTTGTCTTTGGATGATTTATTTTATCTTCAGTAAATATCTGTTGTAAGGTTTATGTGCTAAATATCAGATTCATTAAATTGAGAGGCAATCTAGTGTACTGAGTGGGAAGATGGACTTCAGAGCCAAACTGCTGGATCCAGGTCTCGGCCCTGTAGTTTTATGACCTTAGGACTGTGCTTGATTTTCTTCAACAATAAGTTGGGGGTGATAATGGCACTTACCTGCATTATTTACTGTTAAGATTTAAATTAGCCCCTGTAAAGCATTTAGAATACCGCCTGACACATAGGGAGTGTTCTAACTGCGTTTCTTATTATTACTACTTAAAAAAAAGTTGAACAGTTTGTTTTTTGTTTTGTTTTTTGCATTTATCATCAGATAGAGTGGGAGGGAGAGAGAAAGAGAGAGAGAGAGAAACATCGATGCAAGAGAGACACATCGAGTGGTTGCCACCCACACAACCCCAATGAGGGCCAGGGACAAATTGCAGCCGAGGTACGTGCCCTTAGCGGGAACCGAACCCGGGACTCTGGTCTGCAGGCTGACACTCCAACTGCTGAGCCAAATCGGCCAGGGCAAAAAAAGAGTTGAACAGTTTATTGAGATATAATTCACATAGTATATAGTTGACTCATTTAAAGTGTATAATTGAATGGTTTTTAGTATATTCACAGATATGTGCAGTCATCACTACAGTCAAATTCTAGAACATTTTCATTATCCCAAAAAGAAACATCATATTCCTTAGCTGTGACCCCTTCCCCCAAATCCCCTATTCTTCCAGCCCTGGATAAACTCTAATCTACTTCCTGTCTATAAATGTGCCTATTCTGGACATCTCATATAAATGAAATCATGTATGTGGCCCTTTGTGACTGGCTTCTTTCATTTGGTGTAATGTTTTAAGGATCATGCATACTGTAGCAAGTATCGGCACTTTTTTTATTGCCAAATAATAGTCTCTTATATATGTATTTCACCTTTTATTTATGCATTCCTCAGTCAATGTGCATTTGGGTTATTTCTGCTTTTTGGCTATTATGAATAATACTGCTATGAACATTTGTATACAAGCTTTTATGTGACCATATGTTTCATTTTTCTTGGGCATTACCTAGGAGTGGAATTGCTGGATCATATTGTAAAGTTTTTTTTTCTTAACTAATATACTTTATCTCTTTAGAGCAATTTTAGATTCATAGCAAAATTGAGTGGAAAGTATAGAGAGTTCCCATATACCACCCCCCCAACACAAACACAACATTCCCCATACTATTGGTTTTTGTTTTTTTTTTTATCATCCTCGCCCGAGGACATTCTTCCATTCTTTGTTCAGGTAGAGTGGGAGGGAGAGAGAGAGGAACAGAGAGAAAGAGAAACATCGATGTGAAATGGACACATCGAGTGGTCGCCACCTGCACAACCAACCAGGGCCGGGGATAAACTGCAACCGAGGTACATGCCCTTAGTGGGAACCGAACCCGGGTCTCTCCAGACCGCAGGCCGATGCTCTAACTGCTGAGCCAAACCGGCCAGGGCCTATTGGTTTTTTTAATCCTCACCCGAGAACATTTTTGCAACCCCAACCAGGGCAGGGGACAAACTGCAACTGAGGCATGTGCCCTTTTGGGTGTGGTGACCATGATAACTTCTAAACCCTCCTGCTACAAACATCTGAATATATTAGTGTAATATAGTAGCATACTTATTAATGAATAGCTGAGCTAACAAGAAAGAAAGGAGAGTCCTGACCAGTTTGGCTCAGCGGTTAGTTGCAGGTTTGATTTCCGTGAAAGGCACATACCTCGATTGCGGTTGGTCCCTGGCCTTGGTTCGGTTGTGCGGGAGGCAACCAGCTGATGTGTCTCTTTCACATTGATGTCTCTCTCTCTCTCTCTCTCTCTCTCTCTCTCTCTCTCTTTCTTTCTCACTCTCTCTCTCTCTCCCTTTCTCTCCCTCTCTTCTACTCTATCTGAGAATAAATGGAAAAATATCCTCAGGTGAGGATTAAAAAAAGAAAGAAAGAAAGGATTTTGAACCAAGTGCATGAGCAGGTGCTGCTGCTGTCCTGGGAGTTTGCTGTCCTGGGAGTTTGCCAGTCTCTGCAGTAACCCAGGCAGATGAGACACTGGCCCCACAAGAACTAAGAGTTAAGTGCTAGAGACCCTTTACATTTTTTTTTCTCACCTGAGGATATTTTTCCATTGCTTCTCAGATAGAGTAGAAGGGAGGGAGGGAGGGAGAGAGAAACATTGATGTGAGAGAGAGACACATCAATTGGTTACCTCCTGCACGACCCCAACCAGGGCTGGGGATGGAACCTGCAACCCAGCTACATGCCCTTGACTGGGAATCGAACACGTGACCCTTCAGTCTGTATGCTGATGCTCTAATCGCTGAGCCCCTTATATTATACTGTGTTCCTTATTTGAAAGGTTTAACTAGAAAACAATCTTCTACTTTCAAAGGAAAACAAGAATATCTGTATCTGAACTTTGGATCAGAGAGAAAAATGTTCCTTCTAGAATGTTTTTCATAATAACAGTATTTTATTGAGTTATAGTTTACAGCACACAAGTGTGAAGTGTATACCTTGTTGACCAACATCCAAGTCAAGATACAGAGAGTTGCCCTCACCCCACAAGTTCCCTGGTTCCTTTGTGCAGAGGAAACCACTCCTCTGACTTCTATCATGGTAGTTGAGTTTTGCTTGTGCTTGAATTTCACCTAAATAGACTCATGCAGCATGTGCTATTTTATGTCTGGCTTATTTTGCTCAACTTAATGTTTTTGAAATTGATCCTCAATGTTGCATGTACCCACATACAACAATGTTCATTGTATAAAAATAATATGGTTTGTTTATTCATATTCCTATTGATGAAAACTTGGATTATTTCCAGTTTGGGCTATTTTGTGTAGACCTACAAATGCAAGTTTTTTCATGGACATATATATTAATTTCTCTACCCAAGGAGTCAAATCCCTGGGTCATAGGATAGGTGTATGTTTAATTTTATTAAAATTGCCAAAAAGTCTGTTTCCAGTAGTTGTACCATTTTACACTCTTTACCAGCATTGTTTCAGTGTTCTGGTTGCCCCACATCCTCTCCAAAACTTGGTGTTTTCTATTGTTTTAACTTAGCTATTGGGTAGGTATGTAGTATTATCTCATCGTGCCTTTAATTTGTACAACCCTGGTGATAACTAATGATATTGAGCCACTTTTGTGTGCTAATTGACCATTTGGGTATCTTTTATGATGTACCTGTTCAAGTATTTTGTCTATTTTTATGAACTGTTTATTATTTATTTGTGGTAGTTTTTCATTTTGTTTGCAAATCCTTTGCTAGATATATGTATTGATTTTCTTCTAATCTGTGGCTTATCTTTTTTCCTCCTTAGTGATTTTTGATAAACAGCATTTTAAAATTTTGATTAAGTCCAATCCATGTTTCAAAATATATAGTTAGTGCTTTTGTGTCCTGTCTAAAAAAAATATTTGCCTATCCCAAGGTCATGAAACTATTCTTCTGTGTTTTCTTTCAAAAGTTTATAGTTTAAAATTTCTTATTAAAGGTCTATAGTCAGTCTCAAATTAATTTTTGTGTATGATGTGAGGTAGAAATCAGTTTTTGTTTTTTTTTTCAGTAGAGATGTATCATTGTTTCAGCACCATTTATGGAAAAGATTTTTGTTTTCTCATTCTGCATTGAGACCTTTGTTGAAAATCAATTGATCATATGTTTGTGGACTTATTTCTGGACTCTTTTTTCCTTTTATCTATTGGTCTGTCCTTCTGCCAACATTATACTCTTAATGTAGCTTTATATAGTAAGTCTTCCAATCTGGTAGTGTAAGTCCTCCAAGTTTATTATTACTATTCAGGATTGTGTTGGCTATCATAGGTCTTTGACATTTCTGTAAAACATGCAATCAGCTTATTGGTTTCTATGATAAAGCTCAAATATTGATTGGAATTATGTTGACTCTGTAGATAAATTTGGAGGAAATTGGTATCTTAACAATAAGGAATTTTCCAATCCATTAACATGGTATACTTCTCTGTTGTTTTGGATCTTCTTTAATTTCTCTCAGCAATATTTTGTATTGTCTTTCTTTTTTTTACCATTTATCTCCCCTATACCCTTCTCCAACCTCCACCCCCACCCCCCTACTCCCCATATCACCACACTGTTGTCCATGTCCATGAGTTCTTTCTCTCTTTTTTTTTCCTCCACTACCACCCCCAGATCCCCCAAGAGCTGTCAGCCTGCTTTCTATTTATAAGTCTCTCTATAATATTTTGTATTTTCAATGCATATTTTTTTTCATTAAATTTGTTTCTAGATATTTGATGTGTTTTGAATGAAATTTTAAAAATGTTTATTTTCTAAATATTTGTTTTTAATATATAGAAATACAATAGATTTTTATAGATTGACCTTGTATCTAAATTACTAGTTTTCATAGTTTGTAGATGCCTTTGAGTTTTCTATGCATAGAATCACAGAAACATTCTCTGCTTCTTCAAATAAAGTATTTTTCAGTTCTGGAAGTTCTATTTGTTTTTATTTTTTATTTTCTTCCCATTTAAAAAAAATGTTTTTTTTTTCTTTATTGATCTTTAGAGAGAGAGGAAGGGAGAGGGAGAGAGATAGAAACATCAATGAGGGATTGATCACCTCCACCATGTCCCCCAGCTGGGGATTTGGCCCACAACCTGGGCATGTGCCCTGACCGAGAATTGAACCAGCAACCTCTTGGTGCATGGGTTGATGCTCAACCACTGAGCCACACCGGCCGGGCCATTTTCCCTCCATTTTATCCATCTTTTCCTCTTGGTTTCATTAAGTGATAACAATGGCACTACTTAGAAATATGGAAAGATTGAGGCCAGTATGGATAATGCTGCATTTTCAACCACAGATCTCTCTCGGCCTTGTCTGCTTATCATACTGGCTTGATTGCTCCAATGAAGATCCGCACAGAGGCCCCTGGGAACCTTCGTTTATACAGTGGGAGCCCCACTCGCAGCGAGAAAGAGCAGGTCTCCATCAGCTCCTTCTACTACAAGGAGCGGGTAAGCAGCAGAGCCACAGCCTTCGATTCTTATCCCTTCCCGGGATTCTTGTTCTTTGTCTCCCTGCCACAAACAGCAGCTAATTTAGTAATCCCTTGTAGCCTTTCAGTTTCCTAATTAGTTTGTTAAAGAAAGACTGTTTTTTTGTGCTTTTCCATTGGTTTTAACAACTGTAAATTGTGTGTGGGGGGATCTTCCCATTTAACCCTGTTCTTGTAATCCCCATTCATTAAGTTGATCATTCTTTCAGGTAGAATAATTGAGCTGCAGGTCTTCCTTGGTATTCTGATGTTTGTCAACAAATTAAGAGGTATTTCTTAGACCTTGGGATCTTGCTATATTTGGAATTTTATACCTGTGAGTTTTAAAATTGATCTCTACGAGGTTTTATAGTTTTCCTAAGTCTATACTGAAGTACCCATTTGAATGGACTAGTTTATATAAAAATTACCTGAACCTGTTCTTATGTTCCCGGGTTCTTAAGGAACTCATTGTCCCTAAAGTAACTATTAAGCTGTCAGAAGCCTTTAGTGATGGCAAATGTAGAGAATGTTGGCAGAGTGTAGGAAGGATTCTGAGAACTCTTTCTTGTCAGATTGAGAGTCTGGCTTAAACCGGCTTTTAACTGATATGATGTTTTAAATAGTTACCTCTGATCTACTCACAAACTTAGTCCTTAGGGATTCTTTGTTGTTGCCCTGCCCTAATTAGGACATGATTGACTATAATTTAAAATCTTTTAATTGGCTTACTTTAAAGAAACAGATTTCTAGCAAGTGTAAGAGGTGTGTTCACTTTGATTGCAGTATGCTATCTACCTTGTTGGTTCTCGCTCATAGTTGGGCATCTCTTACTTTGTCATCTGAAATGAGTGGCAGGAGCTGATGCTCGAGGCAGGACCAGACTGGGCAAAACAATTCAGTTGAATAGGAACAGTGGTTTTTTTGTTGCCTTTACTGGCCAACCTTCTATAGTCCCCTTCTTCACATCTCTGCTGGAATGAATTACACTCCCTCGGCTGTCACGGACCTTCTTGGAACACCATAGTTCCCAAATCTTTTACATGTAAAAAAAGGTTTTTTAAAAAAATGCAGGCTAGCTGGTAACTGGTTAGATGATCTGATAAACTGGAACTAAGGCTTTTTTGTTTGTTTGCTAATCCTCACTGGAGGATATTTTTTTCATTGATTTTTTTTTTTAGAGAGAGTGGAAGGGAGGGAGGGATGGGGAGAGAGAGAGGAAAAAAAAAAGAGAAAGAGAAACATTGATGTGAGAGATACACATGTACCCTGATCAGGGCTGGGGATCAAACCTGCAACCCAGGTACATGCCCTTGACTGGGAATTGAACACATGACCCTTTGGTACTCGGGCTGACGCTTTAACCACTGAGCAACACTGGCCAGGGCAGGAACTGAGGAACTGAGGCTTTTTTTTTTTTTTTAATCTTCACCTGAGGATATTTTCCCATTTATCTTCAGATAGAGTCGGGAGAGAGAGACTTGGATGTGAGAGAGACACATTGATTGGTTGCCTCCCGCACCACCCCCACCAGGGCTGGGGACAAACTGCAACTGAGGTGTGTACCCTTGACCTGAATTGAACCTGAGACTCTTTGGTCCTTGGACTGATGCGCCAACACTGAGCCAAACCAGCCAGGGCAGGAACTGAGGCTTTTTTTAATTGACATGCATGTTAGCCAAACAAAGTCATGGTTGGATAAATATGGGAATTTTCCTTAGCATCAGGCCCAGGTTGAGGAGATCTTTTAGTCAGAGAGACAGTTCTGAATTCCCTGCAAATCATGTCATGTGCTACTCATGCTTAGATTCGCATTGGGCAGAATACATGGACTCACACTTTTGACTCTGACAGTGTGTAAAGGCCATGTCGAGTCAAAATAACTCCAATTCCAAGTTGGGACCTCTCCTAACACAGAAGCATTTGTAATGCCTACAGTTATGTTTTTGATGGTCTGGATTCTTTTACTACAAACACCATAATCATAAAGGGGGACCAAAGGAAAGATTGTGGATATTTCAGTTCGCGGTGGTTCCCACTATGCTGCTTCTCAACAGAAATGGGCTATGGTTGTCCCCATGGATGGCATAGTAAGTGGTCTTTAAGTTTTATTTCAGATAATGAGCAAGTAAAATGGGGGAGATACTTTTATTATAATTTTATATGAAGATTTATATTGCTATATAACCTGTCTACAGAAAAGTTCACAAATCATAAGCATCTAATTCAGTGAATTAACAATCATACAGGCCAGGAAATAGAGCATTACAAGAACCCTAGAAGCCCTGGGGAAGGAAGGCACATTTCAGTGGATGACATAGAGTAATTATTAGGTCAAATCATATGAAATTGGTGATATCTGACCTTTTTTTTTTTCTTCTATCCGGGTGAGGACATTTTTCCATTTTTTTGTTCAGATAGAGTGGGAGGGAGAGAGAGGAGGAGAGAGAGCGAGAAAGAGAGAGAGAGAGAAATATTGACGTGAAAGGGACACATCGAGTGGCTGCCTCCCACCTGACCCAACCAGGGCTGGGGACAAACTGCAACCGAGGTACGTGCCCTTAGCGGGAACTGCAGGCTGACGCTCTAACCGCTGAGCCAAACCGGCCAGGGCGATATTTGACCATTTTTGACCTTAAAGAAGAAATTCAGGTGGTTCAACCTAATAAGACGTTAAAATGAGCAAGTCAGTTACTTTGTAATAAATCTGAAATAAATTCATCTCTCCTTGAAGCTTGTTTGTGTCCACTCCATGTACATGGGGCAAAGGGGGAGGATTAAAGAAATGAGGTACAGCGATGATATTATATATAGGCCATCTTATTTTCCTTTTGGATGGTAATACAGTTTTGTGCCTTTAGAAGTATTTTCTAATTCTCATGTGTCTAGTTTCATGTGTCAAATAATAGCACTTGCAATGGAAATGATTTCAGTTTACTAAATTTCTCTGTTTTTATTTTCAGCCCAGATCTTTCTCCTACATATTTTTATTCTCTTTTAGATCTCTATCTCTGAGATATTTATTTATTTATTTATTTACTTGTTTACTCCTCACCTGAGGATTTTTTTTCCATTTATCTCCAGACAGAGGGGGAGGAAGAGAGAGGGAGGGAGAGAGAGAGAGATAAACATTCATGCAAGAGAGACGCATTGACTGGCTGCCTCCCACACGACCCTGACCAGGGCCAGGGGACGAACCGCAACCAAGGTACGTGCCCTTGACCAGAATCAAACCCGGGACTCATTGGTCCGTGGGCCGATGCTCTAATGGCTGAGCCAAACCGGCTGGGGCTGCCCCTGAGATCTGTAAATGAATAAGAATAAAGGTAACAAATACAACTGCATTAAAGTATAGCAATGAAGGGATATAGCATATTTTAGCAATTGCAAAAAATATATAGAGTCATTGGGGATTACTGTCCCTTTCTCTGTTTTTTTTTTTTTTTTAATCCTCACCCGAGGACATTTTCTATTTTTTGTTCAGATAGAGTGGGAGGGACAGAGAGAGAGAGAGAGAGAGAGAGAGAGAGAGAGAGAAACATTGACGTGAAAGGGTCACATCGAGTGGCTGCCACTCACACAACCCAACCAGGGCCGGGGACAAACTGCAACCGAGGTACGTGCCCTTAGCGGGAACCGAACCCGGGTCTCTCTGGACCGCAGGCCGACGCTCTACCGCTGAGCCAAACTGGCCAGGGCGCTTTCTCTGTTTTTTTTATTTAACCTGCCCTACTTGTATATTCAGCCAGGTGTTCTCCAGATAGAATTCCAAGGTTGCTCCTAAAAGTTTTTTAAAAATGTGAGACACCTTTTATAGGGAGTTAGAAAACAGAGAGATGGCATTCATTTGGTAATTGGACCAACTATTAATAGTTGATGAAATACTGCTTATTCTAAGGGTAAATTGGAAGGCCCAGAACTTCTAAAAACATTAGGCATCACCCTTTGATAAACATTTAAAAAATTTTGCAACCTCCCATATTTGCTTCAGTTTATGTTATTAAAATAGCTCTAATGTAAATAACTGGGGAAGTCTTTGAAGTTGCTAGAATAATTTCTGATTTCCACAGTGTCTGTGCTTCCAGTTTCACACTGATGCTCATGTTAGTGAGAAAGCCCTTAAAAGTGTAAGTCTTCAGCCTTAGCTCCCTCTTCCCTGCATTTTCCTGGGGCTCTCACTTCCCAGGGCATCACTCTAAAAATAATCCCGGCCTGGCTGGTGTGGCTCAGTGATTGAGCGTCCACCCATGCACCAAGAGGTCACCGGTTCAATACCCGGTCAGGGCTCATGCCCAGGTTGTGGGCCTGATCCCCAGAGAGGGGCATGCAGGAGGCAACCAGTCGATGTTCTCGCTCATTGATGTTTCTATCTCTTTCCCTCTCCCTTCCTCTGTTCCTAAAATCAATAAAGAAAAAAATCTTTTAGCCCTGGCCGGTTTGGCTCAGTGGTTGGAGCGTCGGCCTGCGGTACAGAGAGACCCAGGTTCGGTTCCCGCTAAGGGCACGAACCTCGGTTGCAGTTTGTCCCCGGCCCTGGTTGGTCGTGCGGGTGGCAGCCACTCGATGTGTCCCTTCACATCGATGTTTCTCTCTCTCTCTCTCTTCCTCTCTCTCCCTCCTGCTCTATCTGAACAAAAAAAAATAAAATAAAAAAAGAAAAAAATTTTTTAAACTAAATAAATAAAAATAGTCCTGCAGTCCCAAGGTTAAGATTTCCCGTTTCTCCAATGCCCTTTAGCCACACACCCAAAAAATGTGGTAATGAGCGTATGGAAGAACTTCCTTTTTGGGAAGGAGCATCTTCTTGAACACACATATGCTCCCGAAAGGGCAAGCCGAGCCCTCCGCTATTGCTCCACTTGCCCCATCCTAATCCTCGTTAGAGAGCCACAGGCCTTGATCATAGTTCCTTTGTCAGAGCAGTGTGGATGTCACCCCCTTATATGTTGAAATGTATTTTGGGCTGAAGAATAATGACATTGGAGTTGGGTTTGGAGTGTGATGGTTTGGGTGGGAGGTGAGGGAATCCACCTACTGCTATGTTTAGGTTCAGATTTTGTAGTCATTTCAATCCTGATTTTGTAGTATATTATGGTACCTTTTAATCCATCAGATATGTGGGAAGCTTTCATTTTATTCTATATTTTTCCCTTTTAATTTTCTTGGTGTTTTTCTTCCCTCCTCCTGGGTGTAACGTTTTCACGCACAGATGTCTCCTCGCTCTGCCCGGCGACGTTGGTCCATACAAGCAATTAACGACTTCCCGGTACTGTGCGCTGTGCAAATGCTCTCCTTGACTAATCTTGTCTCTGCCCAAAGGCCCAAGAATAAAGTGCCACCTGCCTGGCTTTGAGGAACCTGAAATGACAGGCTGGCTGGGTTTCAGGACCAGCAACAATAAATTTCCATTCTTGGGAGTCAAGCGCCAAGGACTGCCTCCTTATTCCCTGACAGTTTCAAATGGGTGAATACCAGTACTATTAAGGATTTTGAATGGACTTCTTTAAAAATGAAGCTCAATACTGGGTTTCTTGGAAAGCCTTTAGCTCACCTGATTTCATTTGGAGTATTTGTATAATTTCATAGAGCTTTCAAAAGCCTACCTTTGGCATTGGGGAAGCAGAGGAAGATATAAGAGGCTTCCATCACTTTGTGTTTTTATCGTCTTGGTCTAATTCAAAGAGGGAAGTACCCACCTGCTTCATTGACACGTAAGCTAGTTTTTATCCTTTGGGAATTTTCTGGAACAAATTTTTTTCCTGATCATCAGTATTTTGCATTGACAGTAACACCTGTGCTCTGGACATCCTCTCTTCCTTTTCTTCCTATTGGCCATCTCCCCTCTTCTGTCTTCCTCTCCCACCCCCTTTGCATGTCATTAGTGCCATGGTGACCTCAGGTTGTGCAAGGCAGCCTTGAGGCTTTAGCATAAACTTCATTTGGTGTAAAATATATTTAGGGGAATAGTTCTATAGCCTTTTCATATAAAAACCAGTTGAAATCAGGAGCCCTGATTAGCAAGTACCACTGCTGCCGACAACTGCAGGTGGAGCTGTCAACGTGGCCACCTTTTCTCAAATCACCTGTCCCAGCCAAGCCGATGGCTGAATTTCCATTGGTTTTCCCAGCAGTCCCCCGTCCTGCTGCTGCTGCTTAAACAGGAACTCACCTGGACTCACTGCCCACTCTGCTGATTATGCACTGTTGATGGGGTTGCTGCGAAGCAGTTGGTGGCTTATTCTTGGGCTGTTTTTACATTTTACCCATTTATTGGCATCCATGTTGCCTCCGGTTGTAGCAGTAACACTGGTGGTACAGTCGCGAGCTGGCTGTTGGTTGTCATTCAGTGCTGTTTGCACCAGTGCCTCCCTCCCTTTACCTTTCACCCGACTCCTTTCTTCCCTGTCCGTCCTCTTTCCCATAATTCCACGAACACCTTCTTGGTGTGTTCACAGGAGCATCCCGGTGCTCATGTGATAATTTGTCTGTCTTGCTTTGCCTCTCTCTCTCCCCTCAATTCCTGCTCATAATCTGTGGGGGAGAGGCATTTTCTTTTGATGGGGCATTGAGAAGACCTAAGAGAAGTGTAGAGTTCTTTGCCTTCCAGAGGTACTGATTTTACCGCACAGAAAAACACCCACGTTTTAGCCCATCAGAGTAGGACTGGAGCAATGCAGGAGGTTTAGAGGACATTTGGGCCATAGTACCCTCTCCTCACCTGGGAAAATCAGCCACATTCAGACTGGTGTGCCATTGTTCTCTGCCTGTCGTCACCTGGCAGTTGCACAGATAAGAGACTCCTAAAATCGCCACGAGATATTAAGGGGAAAGGAAGTCTTGGGGAAGTGTGGATGGAATGAATATGAACTCTTTTTATTGCCAAAGCTCTAAAAGAAACCCCGAAGCCCTGGCTGGTTTGGCTCAGTGGTTGGAGCGTCGGCCTGCGGACCAGAGAGTCCTGGGTTCGGTTCCTGCTAGGGGTATGTAAAAAAAAAATAAATAAATAAAGTAAAATAAAAGAAACCCTGAAAAATTGTCCATGCTTATTAGGGAGCAGCAAGGATTTGAGATTTATCATGTCTTCATTTAGGCAGTCTTGTTTTATCCGAATTCCCAGGTAATTGGCCAGTAGACAGGATTACTAAGTGACTCCTGTAGCACAAAGAGGAGGTATTTTATATGTTAAAAACACCAACCAACAAATTTTAAAATAAACTTTTTTGTGACCACTTAAAGATTTTTGATAATGTTTTGTAATATTCTTTGCTGGATTAAATGAATGAGTACTGCTGTCCCATGATTGCTTTTAAAGTTTGATTCTTGGTGGAACTAGAATTGGGTGGCCTTGTGTTGGGGAAGCTTTTCTTATTATAGGCTAAAAAGGCAGCTTATTGAGGTTTTATAAAACAGCACCTACACATCAAATAGATAAAACAGAACCACCTAGAAGCCTGGTGTCTCAGGAAGTTGACAAGGAAGCCCTAGGAAATACAAACTGTGATTTCCATAATTTAATGAAGGATAATTAGACAGTTGTTCAAGACCAGTATCTTTACTTTCATTAAGCACTTATTGATGACTCATACTGGCTTGTTTCTACTGATCTCCGTAACCCAAGACTGTGAATGGGGGAAGAGTCCTACGACAGCTCACTGGACTCTCAGTCTTCTCTATGAAGGCACCTAACCCTAACAAATCCATAATGCTAGTTAAACAGCATGTGGTGCAGGCTCTTGACCCTGGCCTGACATACAGCCTGGGTCTGAGCGTGGCGTGCCCAATGTGAAGCCGTGTAGCTGCAGAAGCTGCTTCCTCTGCCAGTCTGTAGCACGCTGCTTAGCAGGACAGTCACAGTGCTTGGCACAGAAGCCACTCTGGAAGTGAGTGATTGTAGAGGATGGGGTTGGATAGGCCTCATTAGAATCAACTGCTGATCTCCCTCTATGCAGAAATGGGTCTATTTAAAAATGGACCAAACGATTTACATATTCACAATGAATTAGTTGGGACTTAAATTTTTTTCTCTTTAATCTAAAATCACGCTCTTAAAACCAGATAAACAAACATGGGCTTAGCAGCCTGACAGGCCTGTGTTCAAATCTCAGCTCTTATGAGTGTAGCATTGAATAATGGAGACAACAGCCCCTTTGTGAGAGTGGTAGTGAGGCTCACGCTCACATGGAGTGAGCGGTACCCAGCAGGAGCTGAAGTGAACAATGACAGGCTAGCCTTTAAATCCTTAGTCAAGTGTCTGTACACTTGGACTTGTGTCCAGGACATTTCTCATTGTCCACATACAGGCTCCTGTGTAGCCCTTCGTAGGTGAGGCTCTGGAGAAGTAAGATAACTGTTCATGATCTTCCATGTCCGTTACCCAAGTTCCTCTGCAAGTATCTTTGGCGTTCTAAAATGGTCACTTTTAGAAGTAATTCAAGTCTACTAGGAAAAACATTTTTAAATGAGTTAGTCTGCAAATTAACCGCTTTTAGCACATGGGTCTTAATATTATGTTTTCATTGAGTTTGCTTAAAAAGTCAGGGCGTTGTGGTGGTTGTCACTGTGGTCTGAAAGCTGTAGACCCCACCCCTCGTGAGCCTCTGTTTATTTCCCCTGTTTAGTTAAACAGAGCTAGTTCATTGCTCAGTTGTTCAAGTGCTTCTCATTTTCTCTTTGTAATGAGGAACCAAAGTGACTGCCTGGAACAGTGTTTTAGAAACCTCCTAACCACCCGAAGACTGAATTAGATGGACCATTCTCCGTTCCTGGTCAAATCTTTCTAGTGTAGATTTTCTTCTTTTCTTTTCTTTTCTTTTCTTTCCCTCCCTCCCTCCCTCCCTCCCTCCCTCCCTCCCTCCCTCCCTCCCTCCTCCCTCCCTTCCTTCCTTCTTTCTTTCAGATTCAGTACCCTAAATCTCATGTGAGATGACCAGTTATGTGGGGCCTGTGGGTTTGTGGTTTCCTGGGATTTTTAAACTCCTGGAAACCTGGATGAAAAGCACAGTGAAATGAGTGTGTGTACTTACACCCTCCCTGTTCTAGTTAAGCACATTGTGCTGGTCTTGTCTCTGCCAAATTACACTCCCTGTTAAAACCAGTCATATCAATAACACTAGTGCACGCATGACGACATTGTCTATGTCAGTTAACACTGCTTGGCTCCAGTCCGTTCTGACAGGTGTTTGCTCTTTAGCACATTCTCCCCTCGCACCCATGTCAGGATATTTGGTGAAAAGGATAGCATTTTTTATGAGTATGCACATAATTCTAACTTAGAAAATAACCAGAGCTAGCAGAGAATTGAAGGGCTATCCTACAACAATAGATTAAGCTTCCTCTTGTGTTGCAGAATAATGTCTTGTGTATGGATAAATAGTAAATAGTAACTGAACTGCTTCTTAAGAGCAAATGGGTTAAGGTCCAAATTGATAATATAACATATGTATTTACCAGTTATGATAAACAATTCAAATATTTCAGCTAAACTTCATTTACCTTTCATGAACTAAGACCAAGTGTCCTGGATTTAGTAGGTTCTGTAACACTTACTAATCCTATAGGAAGTTACATGCATTGGGCAACTTGGGGGATTAGATGGGCCATTAGGGGTCAGAGACATCTGAATATAGACCATGACTCATTTATGGAAGAGTGAGTATATAAAAATCACTTGTGGAAAATGAATTTGTGAATAACTTAATGATCTAATCTAAATTTCTGAAGGTTTATGCACATTTATAAAAATTATAGATTTTAAAATTGCACTCTTTCAGTTTACAGAGTTTACACTCTCCTTTTCATGTATCCATATTAACCTTGTGAGGTTGGAACAGCAGAGCTCATTCTGAGCCACATGTTATCAGTGAAAGAAGAGAGAGTGACAGGAGACTAAATTCACAGCCAGTAAGTAATTTGCCTAGGGTCACCTTTTGAACCAGTACTTGTGGCAAAAAGACCAAAAACCTTGGTTTTCTGACTCCGAATTGCAGGCCCTTTCACTAGCTCCTTTTGCATCCTTTGTTAACAAATATGTCTCCTTCCTCCTGAGTTGAGTCACTTTGGTGGCCCCCTTCTTAATTTCTGGCAATAAAATAAAATAGACTATCACTCCCATGCCTGATTGTCATTTTGAAGATACCAGATGGTGCTACTCTCTAATAATTCTGATTTTTAAAGCTACCTCCCATTTCCCACATACAGGCTCCTCCATAGCCATTTGTAGGTGAGGCTCTGGGGAAATAAGAGTTGCTCATGATCTTTCATGTCTATTACTCACGTCCTTCTGCTCAAGTATTTTTAAGATTCTAAAATGATCACTTGAAAAAATTCAAGTCTGCTAGGAAAAACAAGGTAATTCTCCTTGTGCTGCTAAGTTTTTCTGTCTGCCTACCATAGATTAAAGTTTGTGAGCCCACACCGCTAGTCCTGGATTAAATTCTCAACAAATTCTATTAAAAAAACTCTCTTAGAAGGAAAAAAAAAAAACCCTTGATTAGTTTTAAGCAAGAGCTTTGAACCTAGAGTTGAACCCAACCTTAAAAGTTTCTCTTCTCCCACATTTTTGTGGTCTTTATTAACTTATTTACTTGCTGTTCTTTTTCTTCTTTATTTTTTAAAATTCTGGCTTCAAGGTGTCTGTTTTTGAGCACCTGCAGATATACAGTTCTGTAGTAGGTGCTTGTTTTCCTGTTAGGATTTTGGACCAAGAGCTCAATGCCCTTTGTTATCCTTTTATTTCCTACAGATGCTGATTCATATAATTGTGGGCATGATGATGTAATGCAAAGTCTCTGCAAATTACCAATGACCCAACTATGATGTGCTCTGCAACTGTAGGTTTCTATTCAGCAAAGTCCCCATTGGTTACATCTTGTCATCTTCCCCAGAAATCAAGGAGATGGAAAAGCAAGCGCGAGGGATCGGACTCTGGCAACCGACCAATCAAGGCTGCTGGGAAAGTTATCATCCAGGATATCGCATGCCTCCTTCCAGTCCACAAGTCATTGGGAGAGCTGTACATGTAAGTTCATGGAATCCTTTCTTCAAAAGCAGTTTTAGGAGAAGCCCAGTGTATTAGCTTTCTATTGCTGCATAACAAATTACTACAAACTTAGTGGCTTAAAACCACGTACATGTATTATCTCACAGTTTCCATGGGTTAGGAGCCTGGGCACAGCTTAGTGGGGTCCTTGCTCAGGTCTCCCCAGACTGAAATCGGTATTGACCAGGTGGTGTGTTTATCAGATCCTCAGGGTTCTCTTTCTGGCTCATCCAGGTTGTTAGCAGAATTTGGATTCTTGTAGCCATTAAACTAGGTGAACTTCATCTTCTTTGAGACCAGCAGGAGTGTCTCACTTCCTTCTAAAGTGTCACCTGCTTAGATCAGACTCATTTGGGATAATCTCCCTTTTGACAAATTTAGAGTCAACTGATTAATAATAACCTAATCATGGGAGTGATATTTCGTCAGTATTCACTGGTCTCACCTACATTTATTTTATTTTTTCTTTATTGCTTTGAGAGAGAGAGGTAGGGAGAAGGAGAGAGAAATAGAAACATCAATGAGAAAGAACATCAATTGGCTGCCTCCTGCATGCTCCCCACTGGGGATTGGGCCCACAACCTGGGCATGTGCCCTGACCGGAAATCAAACCAGGGATCTCTTGGTGCATGGGTCGATGCTCAATCACTGAGCCATACCAGCCTACATTTAAAGGGAGGGACTTTTAAAACATACTTATAGCCAGGGGCATAAATCGTGGGAACCGTCTCAGAATTTTGCCTCCCAAGCCCAAGCAGGAAGACAGATAAAGCAGAGCCAGTTTGGTTGAAGGGAGTTGGGAGGTGAGTAACAAGCACATAGAGGCCGGCCTATGGTTCCCCTTCTTCCGGAACCTGAACACATAACGAGAATATTTATTTTGTAGTATATACACAGCATACTGCTCTCTGTGTTAGAAACTACGGTGTTGTGTGTATTTCAGTCCATTTTTATTCAACCCTCAAGCCTGGGGAACTTCACAGATAAGTGGGTTAGCAAATTGGATTTTGAGTCTAGCCTCCTTTCCTGGCTTCAAAGAGGTGGTTGATTTCACCTTCCCCAGGCCTGAACCCAAAGCATATCATCAGCTGCTAGTTAAGCATTTTCTTCATGTTATGTACAAAGGAAACTTTAGGCCAATACAAAGACAGCATTTCAAGTGACAACCAAACAGGCAGTGTTTAGTCTGTTTGTTAAAGCAGGAGTAATTGATTTAAGAAGTTAGACTAGCCCTGGCCAGTTTGGCTCAGCGGTTAGAGCGTCGGCCTGCAGTCCAGAGAGACCTGGGTTCGGTTCCTGCTAAGGGCACGTACCTCGGTTGCAGTTTGTCCCCGGCCCTGGTTGGTCGTGTGGGTGGCAGCCACTCGATGTGTCCCTTTCACGTCGATGTTTCTCTCTCTCTCTTCCTCTCTCTCCCTCCCACTCTATCTAACAAAAAATGGAAAAATGTCCTCGGGTGAGGATAAAAAAAAAAAATCAATAAAAACATTTAAAAAGTTAGACTAGAAAGAAACTTTTTAATTCTTTTTAAATTTCAGATTAAATGTAAATGATATTCAAGAAACATGTCAGAAGAATGCCACTTCTGCCTTGCTTGTTGGAAGGAAGGATCTTGTCCAGGTATTGTCCATCCCTTTTGCTGGAGATCTGGATTTTTCTTTTTAAGCAGGGTGTTTTCACTTTCTAGTTGTGGTTTAGTGATACTTCAAGGCGTGTCTCCTATTTTGCAGTTCCTCTCCCATTTTCTTTGCCAAACTACAGGGCTGGGGCAGCTTTCTAAACCCCTTGGATGCTTTTCTTATTAGTGCTTAGTTGAGAGGATCCTAAAGCATTTACTGAGTATTTTTTACTGCATTTTTTTCTACTTCAGTACCGTAGTGATGGTTATATACCTAAATTCGGATTTCTGTATCTTTATCATTTGTACTCTAAATTCTATTTTCTTTTTACTTTAAAAATGCTTCATTTCATAATAGGTTTCCAAAAACATTCCTTTAGAATATACTTGTTCAGTTTTAAAATATGATGTGATCTTACAAAAATTTAAATCTTCATTTTTGCAGGAACATGTCAATGTTTTAAAGCAAGCTGCTCCTTTGTTGTTTTTTTAACAGCTTTATTGAGTTATAGTCCATATACCATGCGATTTACCCATGTAAAAGGTACCATCCAATGGCTTTTAATATATTTTGAGAGTTTTGCAACTGTCACCATAAATACTTTAGAACATTTTCATTTCCCCAGCTCTCAATTCCTTCTTTCCGCACCCAGCCCTAGGCAACCACTAATCCACTCTCTGTCTTTATTGCACCTTTCTTCTTTAGTGTGAGGATTAGATTAAGCAGTGGAAACTACTAGCTGTTATCATATCCACTCAGTTTTTTCCCTTATGACCCTCCAAAATACTCCAGCTAAAATCTTCCCTTGATTTCTGTTTGTCTCCTAATAAATACTGTCAAGTTTTCACTCAAACCCTGTTAGGTGAAATTTAAAGTCATGAATATAATCTATTTCTTTAAGGACCCAGCCACCTAAAGTTCTGTGAACACTAAGAAGCCAAATAAAGTAGTAGAAATTCTGTGGAAGGTACAACAGGATGCAGAGGTCCAGCTCAGCCCCCTAGTGCTGCGATCCCAGACAAGTTATTTCAGACTCTCTCAGCCTCTGGATATAGCGTGGGGCAAAAGTGTTCTTCATGCACATGTGGAAGAAGATATGCCTACTACTTTGAAAAAAGTTGCAGAAATAAGCCTAAGTGCCAACTATTTCTGTTGAAGCTGCTAGGAATTGTGTATTATGTGAGGAAATATCATGCCTGAGTTGTCAGCCAGGGTAGTAAATATTGTGTCCTGTCCCTTTCAGCAGCCATGCAGGTGGTCATTGATTACCGAGATGAACGTGACCTCAGGTTTCTCACTTGAACCAGGACTTGTGTGCATTATTTAACTATACTGGTGCCACATAATTAGAATGATTTTTTACATATCTGATGTGTTTCTCTGCCTTTTTTCAGTATTTTAATTTGCTCATTCTTTTTTCTTAGATTATAAAGTCCTTGATTTAAAGTCCATATATTCTCGTTTTGATATTCTCCCAGTCTAGTACAGTGTTTTCCCATTAGTGGGCATACAGCGATGTGTGGCTCCTAAGAAAGATTTCCCAAAAGTAGACTCCATTTTAAAGGTGTGGAGGGGAGTGGGCTCTGTAGATGGCACAGTGTGCTTAGCATGTGCTAAATCTTAGGTTTAATAGGTACTTAATGGACATTAGTTTTGGCTTGATGACTCCAAGTCCTAGGACATTTCATGTTTGGAGGGAGATGGTCCTCAGATTTGGTGTCAATAAAAAGAAAGCCAAGCCTATTTTGTTGGCCTATTTTTCTGTAGTTTCAGAGAGTATACGGAAACTTTTTCATTATTTGCTAAAGAAAGACATATCTTAACTGTGATACAAAATGCTTTTTTTTCTTCCTGCCAGTTGACTAGTGAAGCAGCAGAAAAAGTCACATGAGTTAGTGTTTAAATAGAAACCTGGTGAAGTTTCTCTGAAGTTTGCTTAATGAAAATTTATTAGGCTAGTGTTTCTCAAATGTTACCGTCCCCTGAGAATCTTGTTAAAGTGCCATTTCTGATTCAGTAGGTCTAGAGTGGGGCCTAAAACTGTTTCAATAAGCTCCCAGCTTTGGGGCTGTCAGAGAAGCAAGGGCGGGATGTCTGTGGGAGAGAGGTGGGGTTCCTTCACGCTTCTTGTTCCTGTGCTCACCAGTCTGACTTTGGGTGTTTCTCTTTGATTTGTCCAGGTTTGGTCTCTGGCTACAGTAGCTACAGATCTGTGCCTTGGTCCGAAGTCTGATCCAGACTTGGAAACACCCTGGGCGCGGCATCCATTCGGGCGACAGCTGCTGGAGTCACTGTAGGTTCTGAGAGCTGGGAGTGAGGAAGAGAGTGATATAAACGTTAGGTCTGTCAACACTGCCAAGGTTACTGTCTAAGAGAAAAGTGCAGAGGCCCAAGGAATGAGAGGTGCAAATGAGAGCTTCCCTTTTTGTGCTGCAGTACTTTCTGTGCCAACTGACTTTTCATAGCCGAAGCACCTAAACAGTATTAGTCATTGATAACAAGGATTTGAGACTCCTTGTGTCCTTTATATGCTTTAGCCCATAAGTCACATCAGTCTGAACAAAGGAGTCTGAGCTTTCGAGACAGTGAATTTCCTGGGTGCTATAGAGCTTCGCCCCTGAGAGCAGATTAGACAATTGAGTGTTGCGTTCATGTTTTCCAAAGGCCATGATACTTTCACCCCTTTAGACAGTTTAAGAAAACATTGAATTTGTATTTGATTTATTGCACTGAACTAAGGCACATTGTGCAAAATGACTTACAACCACGTACGCACTTGGGTCTTTATAACAGCGAGGCTCAGGTGCTGGCAGAGGCAGAGAAGCTCTGCTCTATTCAAGGGAAGGTTTGCTTTACGTACTGGTTGAGGCCAGACCTGGGACAACGTGTGTTCACATGTCAGTTGCCTCAGAGTAACACAGGGATGATGATGCTTGTTCTACATACTGTCATGTAAGGCTCACGTAAGATAGTGAGTGTGAACATACCTTACAAATATTAGACATTGCTTGGTAGGAAAGTATCAATATTATTCCATACAAAGGCCAAGTCCATCTGGTCCCTACCTCCTATTCCAGCATAGTGGTCCTAAAAGGAGCAGAGGGGATATGAGCACCTAAAAGGTGAAACTACTCCTTGTTGTTCTTACTTAATAGCTCCTTTTCCTAATTCCACCTCCTGAGTCGGTTGCCTGCTCACCAGACGGTGGGAGTAGAGTGTTCTCTGAGCACCTTCATGTAGCTTAGGTTGTATGAGTGAAGTTTAGAGGAACACCTCAGAAACCATTGTGATTCTACCTTGGAGTTGGGAGAGAGCATGCGTGGCCTCAGATATGAACTAAACTCAGATATTAGTTTAATCTGCTTAGTTCTTGGAGAAGCTGTGTTCAAGTTTCAACCCATGCCTGATGCCAAACAGCAGCTTTCAGATTAGTTTTCTAGGTCATTTGTGATACTTTGATATATTTTATTCCAAAGCAAATTTAACCAAACTCAAAGTAGATCCAGTCTCTGGATCTATAGAAAGCCCTGGTACCTGACAGAGGTTTTTGAGGAAGAATAAGCATCCTCTCTTCCCTATTCCTGTGGCAACAACCCACCATGATTGTGAGAGCATCCTTCCTCCATCTCTTCTCTTGACGTTTCTCTCACCTTTGTTTCTCCAGGTTGGCTCATTACTGCCAGCTCCGGGATGTCCAGACATTGGCTATGCTCTGCAGTGTGTTTGAAGCCCAGTCCCGGCCTCAGGGAATACCGAACCCTTTTGGGCCTTTTCCTAGTCGTTCATCTAATCTTATGGTGTCCCATAGTCGATACGTAAGCTTGTGGTCTTCTGGTTTGTGTCTGACTTTTCCTAAAGGTAAACTTTCGTGGGGGATGGTATTCTGATGCTGCTGCTGTTTGTTCTGCAGCCCAGCTTTACCTCCTCTGGTTCCTGCTCAAGCATGTCAGACCCAGGGCTCAACACTGGGGGCTGGAACATAGGTTGGTATGGAACTGGCGTAGCCCACGCTGGATGTTTAGTTCTCTAAAAGCTGCATGTGAATTGTTAATAATATGTTATCTTTAGTTGAATGGTCTCCATATTTTTCTTTGTTCCTCTTTTTTCTTTATATTTTGTATGATGGCAATACTGTAGTCAGTAAGGCCTGGACTGTCATGTATGAACAGGCCAGTTTCTGGAAGGTCTTTGTGCCTTTCTGGATTGCTTTATAACCCATGACCTTGAGAAACTGATAGTGAGACTTCCCAGCGTTCTTCTCCAAAACCTAACCCTGTCTGTCTCCATCACACGTGTCCCTTCCCTGGTCACCTTCCACTTCTTTTATGTACCTCTTTCAGTCAGAGAAATATGCTGAGCCTGATGCCAGCTGACCATAGAGATCTACTTAATGGGTATTTGTATTTCCTGGATTTTTAAATTTTTTTTTTTTTTTTTTTTTACCCTCACCCCAGGACATTTTTCCATTTATCTTTAGACAGATTTGGAGGGAGGGAGAGAGAGAGAGAGAGAGAGAGAGAAGTATCAATGTGAGAGACACATTGACTGGTTGCCTCCTGTGCTACCCCAATCAGGGCCGGGGACAAACCGCAACCAAGGTACATGCCCTTGACCAGAATCAAACCCGGGTCTCATTGGTCCGCGGGCCGACGCTGTAACCACTGAACCAAACCGGCCAGGGCTTAAACTTTCTTTTTAAAGATCTTAATTTTCATGATTATAAAAGTAATACATGCACAGCAAAGAAAAAACTCAGCAGAAAGTATTAGAGAAGAAAATAGTAATCATTGATTGCCCCACCTATAAATAACATATGTTAATACTCCAGAACATTTTCTTCCAATCTTTGTTTGTGGGGTATAGGAGGGGTCATTCTATATGTGTGATCATTAGCATTTTCTCGTGTCATTTAAGAAGTCTTTGTACATAATGACAGACTGCTTAACATGCTACTATATCACCATACTCTAATATGCTTAATTGTTATGTGTGTACTTAATTATCAGGTTACCTTAATAATAAATACCTAGACAAAAAGTTAAGGCTGGGAAAGAGTTCTATTTAGTTATATTTCTCAGGATCTTCAGCTTAGCTTATTTTTCTTCTGGGAAATAAATTGGACACACACTGCTTTATGAGAGTTTTCAGATATTTTTCATGCCTTTTCTAATTTTCATCTTCCCTTCCCATTTGATATTCTTTAGCAGGGAGAGAGATAGAACATCTGTCTTCACCTTGGGGAGAGTCTTCACCAGAAGAAATCCGCTTTGGGAGTCTGACCTACAGCGATCCTCGTGACCGAGAGCGTGACCAGCATGATAAAAATAAAAGGTAACGACCTTCCCAGGTGAGAGCTGTAATTTCATGGCACTTAGATGCTCCCAAGTCAGGATTCTTGCATTAAGAAAGGTTTATAAAGTGTCGTTTGGTATTAGGCTTGTTTTTTCATAAACCGACAGGAAATCTTTTGCATTTTATCCAGGCTCCTGGATCCCGCCAATACCCAGCAGTTTGATGACTTTAAGAAGTGCTACGGAGAAATCCTCTACCGCTGGGGTCTGCGAGAGAAGCGGGCCGAGGTGCTGAAGTTTGTTTCCTGTGCCCCTGACCCGCACAGAGGGGTCGGTGAGTGTCGTTACCTCTGACTTATTTTATCTACAACATAAAACTTGAATGAAGTTTTAGTTTCTCGGTTATAAGCAGAAATTTCTGAAGCATTTTGAGTTTATTTTAAGCTTCTGAAAACCCTTACATTTCATGAAGAGTAAATTTTTACTGTAATAGAAGTAGTTTTCTATACAATACTCAGATTGATTGGAAGTCAGTTTATTTATTCAACTAATATCAGTCAAACTCTTCTTAGGCACAGTTGCTAACACATTTCTTCTCATGGAACTCATAGACTAGTGGGAGATACAAATTAAGTAATTAAAAACTGTGATCAGCCCTGGCCGGTTTGGCTCAGCGGTTAGAGCGTCGGCCTGCGGTCCTGAGAGACCCAGGTTCGGTTCCCGCTAAGGGCATGTACCTCGGTTGCAGTTTGTCCCCGGCCCTGGTCGGTCATGTGGGTGGCAACCACTTGATGTGTCCCTTTAACATCGATGTTTCTCTCTCTCTCTCTGTTCCTCTCTCCCCCCCCACCACTCTATCTGAACAAAAAATGGAAAAATGCCCTCGGGTGAGGATAAAAAAAAAAACACGTGTGATCAGTATTTAATAGCAAACAGAAAGGGTTTGGGGACAGGGAGAGAGGGAGGAGAGTGTGAGAAGCTGTGTTGAGGCGTGTTGTGAAGGCCTCTCTGAGGAGCTAAGGGCTGAAGGCCGAGGAGCCACCCGTGCAGAGGGAGCAGGCCTGTGGGAGAAGTGATTCGCTTATTGGACAAGTGACGGACGCCCAGTGTGGCTAGAACACAACGATTGAGAAGAATGGTATAAAATAAAAATAAGATAAGATAATTAGATTATAATTATAATTTATATTGTATGTATGTATGTATGTATTATTTATTTATTTATATTGTTATCATTTTCTAAAACTTACCTGAGGATATTTTTCCATTGATTTTTAGAGAGAGTGGAAGGGTACGAGGGAGGGAGGGGGGGAGAGAGAGAGAGAAAGAGAAACATTGCCCTGGCCGGTTTGGCTCAGTGGTTAGAGCGTCGGCCTGCAGTCTGGAGAGACCTGGGTTCGGTTCCCGCTAAGGGCACATACCTCGGTAGCAGTTTGTCCCCCGCCCTGGTTCGGCTGTGTGGGTAGCGACCACTCGATGTGTCCCTTTCACATCGATGTTTCTCTCTCTCTCTCCCTCCCACTCTATCTGAACAAAATATCAAAAAAATCTCCTCGGGTGAGAATAAAAATAAAAAAAAAAAAGAAAGAGAAACATTGATGTGAGAGAGACACATCAATTGGTTGTTCCCACACATGCCCCAACCAGGGCCAGGGATTGAACCTGCAACCCAATTACATGCCCTTGACCGGGAATTGCACCTGTAACCCTTCGGTGCACAGGTTGATGTTCTACCCATTGAACAACAAGAGCCAGGGCTCTATATTACATTATAGAATAAGATTGGTAGGATAATTAAGAACTTGTAAGTTAAGAATTTGGATCGTGTTCTAAGTCCAATGGTAAGCTTCAAAGGGCATGAAAAAGTAAATTGCTTGCTCTGGTTTCCATTTTAAGAGGATCACTTTGGCTGTTACATGAAGAAAGGATTGGAGGAGCAGAGGCAGAGGTAGGAAGGCCATTTGAAGACTGAGTAGTCACAGAGAGACCGACACATCTAGGGGTGATACCAGTGGCAGTGGGGAGCTATAGATGGATTAAAAATATATGGTACGAACAAAGTGGACGTGGGTTTGGGGAACAGAGACAAAGCTTGGAGGATTTCTGGGTGTTTAGCTTAAGTAAGATGTTGGTGCCATATCCTAAGATAGAAAAGACTGGCAGAACACTGAGAGCTCAGTTGGGGTGGTTGGGCATGGTGTGTGAGATATCCGACTGTGGTGGTCAAGTGGGCAGCCGGATGTGAGTCTGGAGCTCAAAGGAGAGATTGGGGGTAGAGTAAGGAATTTGGGAATCTTTGGCATATAAATGTTGAAGCTGCGAGAATAGGTGTATTTACCTGGGAGCTGGTGGGTGGGGAGGAAGAGTATGGGAGAGCAAATAGAGAGCCCTCCCACTCTGGCCTTGAGGGGGAACTAGTACATGGAGCTTGAGTCTTGGAGGAAGAACCAGAAGTGGAGACTTAGAACAAGACACCAGTGAGCAAGACTGTGACATGAAAGACGCTAAGAGAAGAAATGTTTTTAAAGGGTGAAATGGAAGACTGCCAAAGAGTGGACTGAACACACACAGATTTCCTCTCTCCTTAAAGTGTCTATATGGAGCTTTTCTGAAAGGCATACCCATGCAAGGAGAAATGATGTTGGCGATAGGGCATGGGACCTGGGAGGCAGATAGGATAGTGGTAGCTGATTTTACAGGGCCTGAGAAAACTGAACGCCCGACTGGCAGGCAGATAAACAGTAAGATACATGACAGAACCTCCAGGTGGCTCCAGAATGAGTGGCACCTGGAAGTGGCAGGAAGGTGAGATTAAGACCTGGAGTACTGTTTGATGGCCTTTGCAGGGTCAGGTCTCTGCTTTACCCCAGCAGAAAACGAGGTTCATTCTCCAGAGAAGGTAAATGCATTTCCACATTGAAAGGGCCTGCCAAGCACCTAACATAATGAACGAAGAAAGACCTAGGATAAGGAGGAGACGCCAGGAGCTTCCTGAGAGCGAAAACAGGTTATGTACAAGGGACACTTCTCAGGAGCAGTGAACTAGATTCTAGAAACTAGATGACCTTCAGAAGTCTCAGGAAAATTATTTCTAACCTAAGATTCTGGACCCAAGTTATTAGTCAAGTGTGAAAGCGAACGTTCAGCCTATCGAAGGAGGAGGAATAGATTCAGTCCAGAAAACCAGGGCGTCGGAATGACGGAGACGGTCATGACAGACCTGGAGGCAGACCAGTCCAGGCTGGAGCTTCCAGAGAATTGTCTCCAAGAAGAGAAAACTGAAAAAAAGATCTAGTGTATTTCAGGACTCAGTATATTTATAGAAGTTTCAGATATTAAGGGAGAGTGTAGAGATGAATTATTGATAAGTACATAGCAAACTAAGCAAGTGAACAAAACTAGACAGTTACCAACTCCAAGAAAAACAAAATGGGCAAGAATGGAAAAGTTGTCATGGTATATGGCTTGAATAATGTTTATCTAGATAAGTAATGTAAAAACAGAATAGTGATCCAAGCAAATGCCTTGGGGAATGAGGGCCAGGTGGTGTATGTGTATGGTTGGGGAGACAGAAGTGAAAGCTTCCACTGCGGGACATCAATAGATAATGTTTAAATATGAAAACTAAGAAATAGCTTTATAAACATGTTGTTTAGAGATAGGTAAAAACGAAAGGAACAGTGAAGTGGGTTTGAAGGGTTTCCCCCGGGAGTGGTGGGAATAGAAGGGACTGCTGGTTTTGGTAATAGGGCGTAGTGGAGGGTATTCGACTCAAGTTGTGCATGTGTATACAGTTTCAATTAAAAAACAAGTAAGAAAAGAGTAATATATAGATGTAGATGCCGAATAACAAGAATTATTTTAACATGGATTGTTTTGGTGTATGTACTTGAAGAAATGCAGACACAAAGGCTCTTTGAGGAATAAATTTTTCAGAGCATCTAAATGCATGAAAGTATATCAGGGAGAGATTAATGATAGCCCAGAGCAGTTTTGTCAGTTATTTATTTATTTATTTATTTATTTATTTTTTATCCTCATCCGAGGACATTTTTCTATTTTTTGTTCAGAGAGAGTGGGAGGGAGAGAGAGGAAGAGAGAGAGAGAGGAAGAGAGAGAGAGAAATATCGACGTGAAAGGTACACATTGAGTGGCTGCCACTCGTAGGACCCAACCAGGGCTGGGGACAAACTACAACCGAGGTATGTGCCCTTAGTGGGAACTGAACCCAGGTCTCTCTGGACCACAGGCCGACGCTCTAACCACTGAGCAAAACCAGCCAGGACCAATTTTGTCTTTTAAGATTAATTTTCAGGCCCTGGCCGGTTTGGCTCAGCAGTTAGAGCGTCGGTCTGCGGTCCCAAGAGACCCGGGTTCGGTTCCCGCTAAGGGCACGTACCTCGGTTGCAGTTTGTCCCCGGCTCTGCTTGGGTCGTGCAGGTGGCAGCCACTCGATGTATCCCTTTCACATCAATGTTTCTCTCTCTCCTTCCCTCCCACTCTATCTGAATAAAAAATGGAAAAATGTCCTCGGATGAGGATAAAAAAAAAGAAAATAAAAGATTAATTTTCAGGAAAATATATGAATCACAGCCATACGTAACTGATGTGTCAGTCCCAATCAGCTAAACTCTAAGTGACCTCTGCTATTGCAAAGCGTCACACTGCCTTCTGCAGGCTGCACAGAGAAGTACAAGGTGTGGTTTGGAGGGGTGGGTCAAGAAATTTGTAATCTAATCAGAGATAAACCATTAGCTTGTGATGATTTAAATGATATTCAAGAATGGATAATATGTCCTAATACCATTACAAATGTTATAAGATTTCAGAAAAGGGGTACTGTGAAAGATAGATTCACAGATAAAAACATTAAGAAAAATATTTTATCCTTAAAGTTTTTACTCTTTGGAAGCATCAGCTGCCCAGATACAGGAAATAGCAAGTATTGAAAGACAAATACAACAAGGTTACCAAGGGTACTATTAGTCTCCTCAGGGTGGAAAACCAGCAGTCTCTTGTGCTTGTCACGTCTGCAAGCTCAACCCCCATCCGCAGCAGATTTGAGGGATAAAGTTGTTTTTATTTAGGGGTTTAGATATTTATAGAAAGGTCTCAAAGCTTCATTTATTTTTGAGGGGATAATTCTAGACAGAGTGAGTATTCTTTTAAAAACTCTGGAGCCCTGGCCGGTTTTGCTCAGTGGTTAGTGTTGGCCCATGGACCCAAGAGTCACAGGTTTCATTCCTAGTCAAGGGCATGTACCTGGGTTGCAGGTTCAATCCTCGACATCTGTGTTTTTATTTCTCTCTCTCTCTCTCTTTCCCTCCCTCCCTTCCATTCTATCTAAAAATCAATGGAAAAAAATATCCTCAGGTGAGGATTAACTAAAAAAAAGTCTCTGGAAATGAGATGACTTTTGTTTTTGTTTCTTCCGTTGTGGTATGTGGCTCTCGGCTGTAATGGTGGCTGAGCAAGGGGATTGCTTTGCTTTGTCAGCCCACCTCCAGTTCCTGCCCCCGAGATGCTCACCTAAGCTTTGTACAGCAATTTTCTGCTTCAGCTGATTGGCTAATTTATTGTCTCCTTTATGTGGCTGGTTTTATTTATGTTTGTGTAATAGGTGATGTTAATTAATACACAGAGCTCTTCTGTAAGATTAGCAAACTAGAGTCTTACGACACTAAACCTGGGCAGTTAGCTTCCTCCTAGAGGTTTCCCGAAGCCTCAGGAATCGTAATTCGATTGTTCTCTGGGCCACAGTATTTTAATTGCCTTTTAGTTTGTCTGTTAGGAACCAGGAATGATGCATTTCACCTCCACCAGGTTTCACCTGCAGAGCCTGTACCTGTGGTTGTGTGCCTGTGCCCCTCAGAGCCCCACCTTGGTCACTGTTCCTGTAAAAACACCTTTGTGGTTTAGAGCACACTCCGTGTCTCTTTGTATCTCCTAACCTGGTGGACGTTAACATGTACACCAGCGTGGCCCAGAGGTGTTCGCACACCCTTCTCAGCTGTTAACTAATGCCATTCCATTATGTGTAACACTAAGAGGCAAGAGAGAAATATTAAAATTATGCTCAGCGACTTAGTGTTTTTGAATTTTCTTTTTTTTTTTTTTTATCCTCACCCGAGAACATTTTTCCATTTTTTGTTCAGGCAGAGTGGGGGGGAGAGAGAGGAACAGAGAGAGAGAGAGAAACATCGATGTGAAAGGGACACATCGAGTGGCTGCCACCCACACAACCGACCAGGGCCGGGGACAAACTGCAACCGAGGTACATGCCCTCAGCGGCAACCGAACCCGGGTCTGTCAGGACCGCAGGCCGACGCTCTAACCGCTGAGCCAAACCGGCCAGGGCAGTGTTTTTGAATTTTCTATCTTTGTGAATTTATGTCCACTTAGAAATTGTACACACCCCCAAAGATTATTCATTAATTAACTAAATGAAATATTAGTTCAGGGTCTTAAAGTTAATAAGGGTGATAGAAGTTATGTTGAAATTGACATAAACATAAAAGAAACACAATTACTAACAATAATGTTGATTTTTCAGATCAATGACATTTTAATAATTTTACCCAGATGGATATGGAGAATAATTGTTACATTTATAGTTACCTCAAGTGCCAAAGAACAACCCTTTTAAAATGACATGTTATTGTACTTCGAGTTACTTGAACACACAGTTTTTATATCCTCATCATTTTAAATGTTGAATCTTTTTTATTTTTAATAATCCTCACCTGAGGATATTTTTCCATTGATTTTTAGATAGAGTGGATGGAAGGGAGGGAAGGAGAGAGACAGAGAGAGAGAGAGAAAGAAAGAAACATCCATGTGAGAGAGACACATCAATTGGTTGCCTCCCACAGGTCCCCAATTGGGGCTATGGATTGAGCCTGCAACCCAGGTACGTGCCCTTGACCAGAATCGAACCCTTTGGTTCGTTCGCCGATGCTCTAACCGCTGAGCCGAACCAGGCGGGAGATTGGGACTGTTTCACGACTACTGATCGTCACGAAGCGGACGAGCCTGTGACAGGAAAGGACCCTTCCTCTGCTGGAAGAATAGGGCAGAGGGAACAGACCTAGGGAGACTTAAGATTTGGTGGCAGAGGGATGAAGGGACCCCTCTCGGAAGGCTTTGCTTTCTCAGGGAAGTGAGAGAAGAGGCCATGAGGTGACAGGGGAGCAAAGGTGAGGGAGGCGTTTTGGAAGGTGGCCGGGGGTGAAGCAGCCACCTGGGAGTGGAAGAGAAGCAGTCAGAGCCCGCACAGCGCTGTGAGGCACGTCCTGATGGCGGCCGTCTCTCGGGCCTGCTGGCGGACACGGCGCAGCTCGTAGGGCCTGGCCAGGGCTGAGGTTTTGCCAGGTGGTACCATGGAGGGAGAGCCGGGCAAGGGATCTGAGGATATTTACTGAAAGGTGATTGTAAGGTTGGACCATGTCATTCAGGTTGACCTCAGGGGAACTGCAGCCGGAAGGGGGCTGATGGGACGGGAGTGGACGTGAAGGTGATAGGCCAGAGGTGAGAGGGCAGTGACCCGAGAGGTCAGCTGTGTGAAGGGTTAGTGGCGTGGATTTTGAAGACACCAAGGATTGCACCAAAAAATTGGGGTGGAGGGAAGATGAAGAACCAAGAGCAGAAGTCTTCAGTGTTTGGGTGTGTCCAGACTGTCAGCAGATGACGGCAAAGAGAAGAGGAAAGGCTGGTGAAGCCACATGGCGTCGGCCTCAAGGGAAGGTGACAGTGCGGAGGCAGTGATGGGACACAGTGCCCAGCTCTCCTGCCCTGCTCCTGAGAAGAGGACACAGAGCACGTGGGGAGGTTTGCGCTGGGGTGGCACTGGGAAGGCCGGGCAGGGGGAGGAAAGTCTCCAGAGCAGCAGGGCGTGAGCAGTGACATGGGCAGTGGACATGGGCCACCTGAACTCAGGGTTGTGACTGAGGCAGACTGGGATGGGTGGATGGTGGGATTAGCCCTTGGTCTCTTCCAGAAGGTTTTGGACCTGTCAGAACAGAACGGTGCTGACATCTCCCCCACCGATGGGGCGGCACTGGTGTCCCGGCCTGCTGCTCAGTCAGTGGCAGGCAGGTAGGGCCAGTCAGCTCTCACCTGAGCGTTTACTGGGTCCTCAGTTCTGTCACCTGCTGGGTGCCAGGCCCCTGTGGCTGTTGGGGTGGGAAGAGGAATGAGATGCAAGCACTGGGCATGTGACCAGGACCTGGGAGAGCCAGGTGCCTGCACCCCCTCCTCCTGCACCCGCCACTGCAGTGACAGCAGCTCCTCTTTATAACACTTACTGTGATGGTAAAAGAAGGGGTCCTGCTGTTTACAAAGGAAAATTGAGCTCAGGCCGGTCTGGCTCAGCGGTTAGAGCATCGGCCTGCGGTCCAGAGAGACCCGGGTTCAGTTCCCGCTAAGGGCATGTACCTCGGTTGCAGTTTGTCCCCGGCCCTGGTTTGGGTTGTGTAGGTGGCATCCAGTCGATGTGTCCCTTTCACGTCGATGTTTCTCTCTCTCCCTCCCACTCTATCTGAAGATAAATGCAAAAAAAAAAGTCCTCGGGTGACGATAAAAATAAATAAATAAATAAAAAAGAAAATGGAAAATTATTGGTCTGGTTGGATCCTACAGAGACCCCAGATGTAGTCACCTTCCTGCGCTCCCAGTGCCCAGCGTGCTCTTGCAGCACGAGCTCACGCTGTGTCTTGTTCCGTCTGTCCCCCGGCTCCAGAGTTCGGCGTGTACTGCAGCCACTGCCGGAGCGAGGTCCGCGGCACGCAGTGCACCATCTGCAAGGGCTTCACGTTCCAGTGCGCCATCTGCCACGTGGCCGTGCGAGGATCGTCCAATTTCTGCCTGACCTGCGGGCATGGCGGACACACCAGCCACATGATGGAGTGGTTTCGGACTCAGGAGGTGTGTCCCACCGGCTGTGGGTGTCACTGCCTGCTGGAAAGCACGTTCTGAATGTGTCGGAAATCCCAGAGGACGCTGAAAGTGCCGGCGACAAGCTCTCTGTCAGGAGAGCGCTGCAGACCCATTCCTCACGGGATGGGGCACGTGCCCTTCAGACCACGCAGCACCCGCTGCGGGAGCCTGGCCCATGGATGTTCCCGGAGGTGGATGAGGCAGGCGTGCAGAGCTGTGTGGCCAATGGTAGTCTTCTTGGAGAAAACACCTGCCTCCAGAGCTGTGTTGACTTTTAAGATGTTAACCTTAAACCACCGAACAGTGTCCTTTCTGATGCCATTACAGAGACCAAGGTCAGACTACTCAAAGGACAGTCTCCTGAGCCAAAGGACAGTGGACAGTAATTTAGTTGACAAGTAGGCATATGACATAAGTTGGTACATTTCATAAACTAATGGATAGTGGTCTTTTAAAATATGACACAAATTATAAATATAGGGTGTACTTAAGGATTCTTAAGATGTATTTTTTGTTTGTTGTTTTTCCTCTCATTGCTCTCTGTGGCTAATAAAATTCTAGTAATTGTTTAAAAAAAAAAGAGACAGAGGAAGCTGAACAATGATTTAGTGAATCTTTACTTTTACTCTACTTTTAATTGAAGTTAACTCTTGGATAGGAACAGTCATTGCTCAGATTTTCAAGGGAAATGCTGCTGTACTTTTGTCATGTGGCAGAAGAAAATAGAATTTGACATTTAAGATTCTTTCCAACCCCAGGAATCTTCTTTTTTCAAAAAAACCCCAAGAAAACAAATGTTTTTATTGATTTTTTTAAAGAAGGGAGAGAGAGCCCAGGAGTCTTCTTAATCATTTCCTTCAGCGAAGGGAAACACGGCGGCGGTGCAGCAGCATTGCTGACAGTCTCATCGCTGACACAGTCTCTCATCACTGACACAGTCTCTCACTGCTGACAGTCTCTCGTTGCTGACAGTCTCTCGTCGCTGACACAATCTCTCGTTGCTGACACAATCTCTCGTTGCTGACAGTCTTTCGTTGCTGACAGTCTCTCACTGCTGACAGTCTCATCGCTGACAGTCTCCTGTTGCTGACAGTCTCTCATCATTGACACAGTCTCTCACTGCTGACAGTCTTATTGCTGACAGTCTCTCGATGCTGACAGTCTCTTGTTGCTGACACTTTCATCGCTGACAGTCTCTCATTGCTGACAGTCTCTCATTGCTGACACAGCCTCTCGTTGCTGACACAGTGTCTCGTTGCTGACACAATCTCTCGTTGCTGACACAGTCTCTCGTTGCTGACACAGTCTCTCGTTGCTGACACAGTCTCTCATTGCTGACAGTCTCTCACTGCTGACAGTCTCATCGCTGACAGTCTCTTATTGCTGACACAGTCTCTCACTGCTGACACAGTCTCTCACTGCTGACAGTCTCTCACTGCTGACACAGTCTCTCACTGCAGATAGTCTCATCGCTGACAGTCTCTCACTGCTGACACAGTCTCTCATTGCTGACACAGTGTCTCGTTGCTGACACAGTGTCTCGTTGCTGACACAGTCTCTTGTTGCTGACACAGTCTCTCGTTGCTGACAGTCTCTGGCTGCTGTGCAGGTCAGCCGAGCCCTGGTAAGTTCCTTCACTCTTCATTGGCCCCTTCACAGACTTCGCCCCGTGTGTCCCTGTGTTCCTGCTGGTTGTGACTCAGATGTCCACCAGTTCTTCAGAGTCATTTTCAACTCTGTATTTTATATGTGCCAGGAAAAAGAATTCTTTCTGATATTTACTGAAATTTATATTTGTTTCTTAGAATTTCACCACTTCTAATTTACTAGAGATACAGCTACATGTCTCACAATGTGTTGTACATCATTGTGTTTTAAATGACAAATCAGGACTCATGAATGGATTTTGGAATCAATTTAGTGGGTAAATTGATTTCATTAAAGAAAATGAAATAGAGTAGAAGAAAAAGGATCAGAATTACCGTGCAGAGTTAGGGTGTATATTGTTGTGTGTGAGTTGTGTACAAGTGTACGTGTACACACTTGCACATGTATGTAGTGGATCACAGGATACATTCATTTCTTACTGAGGCTGTGGTCAAAACCTTTTCAAAACACTGCTTTGGGTGATGTTTATACTTTGACCCTGAGTTACTGGGCACAAAACAACGTGACTTTTAAAAGTCTGGGTCCGCCCTGGCCAGTCTGGCTCAGCGGTTAGAGCGTTGGCCTGCGGCCCAGAGAGGCCCGGGTTCGGTTCCCACTAAAGGCACGTACCTCGGTTGTTTGTCCCTGGCCCCTGTTGGGGTTGTGTGGGTGGCAGCCACTTGATGTGTCCCTTTCACATCAATGTTTCTCTCTCTCTGTCTCTTCCTCTCTCTCTCCCTCCCATTCTATCTGAACAAAAAATGGAAAAATGTTCTCAGGTGAGGATTAAAAAAAAAAAAAAAAAGGCTGGGTCCTTTTCAGTGAGAGCAGAGACGTAACCCTGGGCTCTGATCGGAGGTCAGCTGTCTGCGGAGGGTGAACTGGAGGAGTCCACAGGCTCCTGGCGGGGCTGGCACAGGAGGCAGCCGAGGAAACCTGGATTTGTCCCCTCCTTGCCCCTCACTTGTCGGTGTTGACCTGCTGTCACAGCGGTCACAGAACAGGTTGACTAATGTCACCGAAGTAAAGGGTCTGTGTGCTCCTCAGTGAAATCACACTCTGCAGAGAACAATCTTTTCCTGTTTTCCACTGTTCAAGCTAATGTAGAACCCTGTCCCTATCTGGCCCCATCAAGAATTAAATGTTTATTGTCTTAGTTTATTGTCACAGGAACCTTGTCTTTTAAGCTGAAAAACCTTAATAATTAAGAACTTTAAAGGTTAAAATGTTACATAATGTCTTTTTTCCATGTATGTATTCCTTTTGAATTTCTGAGTTGCCGGAACAAAGATCTAATATTTTAAAAATATTCATTGTTGTAAACATGTGGGTCTGGTTGCTGGCCATGGTCTATAGTCTGTCTGTCTCAGGAGAGAATATTACAAGCACCTAAGTGCTTTTTTGTTTGTTTTAAGGAAGTAATACAAGCTGTGTTTCAAAGTACCCTTGAACTTGGCAAAGAAAACAGGGCTAGCAGCCTTATAGGTGCACCAGAAACAAAAGTTGTTTAGGTGACCTGCTGAAAAGAAGGGGGGGCGGTGAGCCTTCTGGGGTAGCCACCAGCTTGATTTTGTCCCGTCCCCAAACCCTCATAAAATGCTTTTGAGGTGTAATGCTTTCCTGGGGAATTGCCACATAGAATCAGTGTTGCTTTAATTTTTAAATGCCACATAAATAGAATCAATGTTGCTTTAATTTAGGGGGAGGAAATTCCAACCAACATAGAAATGCAGGAGCCTCAAGATGCCCAGTTCACATGCTGGGGGCTCCTCTCCTTGTTCAGCGATTTCCTGGGGGTGGCAGGATTGAAGAGAAAGCTGGGTGCTTCTCAGTGGCTTAATGCAGCAGGGACTTGAGGGAAAGGCAGGAGTCATTTGTTTTGTCAGAAGACCGATGCTAAAGGGTGGGGGAGCCCATTGGTCTCTGTGCAAGAGAACAATTCCATAGAAGATTGATTTTGCTAGTGGTGGAAAATAGTTCAGAAAACAGGGTTATAAATAACACCTGTACTTTATGGCTTACTGTTCTATACCTTCCTGAGTCGGAGCTGGCAATAAGACCGTATACACACACTCGAAGGACAGATCCCAGGGGAGGAAACACACACCTTGGTTTCCTCACTCTCTGAGCGTAATGTCCTTATGAGAATGAGAAATAAATCTATCTTATTGGCATTCCATAATACTGGCACATTCATTTCACAATATCACTGATTTGCTATTTCTCCTTAAATCTAAGAAGGTCTGATTTGATTCGCGTATTTAACATGAGACGGGCATTTGGACAAAGGTGAATATAGACTGGTCTCTGCCCTGCTGGAGTGTGGACCAGTAGGAATGTAAGTGTTTTGTACATGCTTACACCGCAGTGTGCTGTTGGCCTCCACAGGAAGGAAGGAGTAACTCCACTGAGGTGGGGGGGACAGAGAGGGCGGCTTTGGCCAAGTTTAAGGGTCATTGTCCTTCAGATGGGGAAGAGTAGGGATGCAAGGATGAAGGGCTAAGCCAAGCAGGGACAAGCAAGTGTGGCACCTGGGGGCACTGTATGTGGTTTCTCACAGGTGGAGCTCGGGCTAGGACTGAAAGTGGAGGCTGGGGAGCAGGCAGGAGTCAGAGCACAGAGAGTCCCGAACAGTGCCAAGGAGTCTGAACTTGACCTGTGAGCCGGGTCTCCTTAGTCTTCTGTTATCTGCCGACTGCATAATGGATATTCCCCACAAATACAGAGCACCGATTTTAATTAATAAAAAAAAAAAAAAAATCACTAACAGCCCTGGCTGGTGTGGCTCAGTTGGTTTGGCGTTGTCCCATGCACCAAGAGGTCGCCAGTTCGATTCTCGATCAGGGCACATGCCTGGGTTGCAGGCTCCATTCCCAGTAGTGGGCGTGCAGGAGGCGGCCAATCGATGTTCCTTCTCACATCAATGTTTCTATCTCTCTCTCCCTCTCTCTCCTTCTTTCTCTAAAAATCAATAATAAAAAAAAATCACTAACAGAAGTGTTTGAATGAATCACATCAGTTATCAACCAAGACATATCTTTCACCAAGGTTTCCTTGTATTTGGCTTGATGATATATAACATAGAGCATAGGAGAGGTGCCGTGTCTGGTCTGTTTTAATTTTTACTCTCCTTTTCCCATGTTAAGTAGGAAAATCCCAAACTCATTATTACAGACCATGGAGAATACAAACAAGTGTTTGGTAATTATTGAATACTAATCTGTGTTCCTGTCTACAGTCTCTTGATAGTCTTGATATTTTGATATTATAAAATTCTTGATATCTTTGATTCAAACATGGATGATACATTATGGAGAGCTTTTTCTCTGAAGACTTCATTCAGTGTTTTGTCCATGGCCAAGAAAATGAGCACATTTCTCAGCAGCTGAAAGAGCAGTAATTAATTCTCAATCCCCTTTTGTTTTGTTGCAGCATTTGGCGGTGCTTTTAAAGATATGCCCTGTAATATATCATCTTTTCCTTTCTCTAACAAGTAAAGAAAATCATCCGGTTTGGGAAAGACTTAAATATCCGTCAATCAAGCCATTTACAACACAGTTTATTCTTAAGAACTCCAAATAACAACCTTGACATTAAATACTGTTTTTTCTTCGTCTTTAAACTGTTTGTGCTGATATTATTTTGCACTTGATCTTTTTTTTAAATTTTTTTTTTTATCCTCACCCAAGGATATTTTTCCATTTTTTGTACAGATAGAGTGGGAGGGAGAGAGAGGAAGGGAGAGAGAGTGAGAAACATCGATGTGAAGGGACACATCGAGTGGCTGCCACCCGCACGACCAACCAGGGCCGGGGACAAACTGCAACTGAAGTACGTGCCCTTAGCGGGAACCGAACCCGGGTCTCTCCGGACCGCAGGCCGACGCTCTAACCGCTGAGCCAAACTGGCCAGGGCTGTACTTGATCTTAAAAGCACTTGATTGATTTCCAGAGAGACCATGTATTGTTATAAATGATAATAGCCATGACTTGATGACATTATGTGAACTACACACTGGCAAATCAGTGCAAGTGGATGCCCGTCCAATAAAAGTTGATTTCAGGTATTTATCACCATACTTCCTATTCACAGTCTTCTTTTCATTTTCACACCCCACTTGGTTTACACTACACATTCATTTGTCCCAACACACAGAGCCGTATTCTATGTTTTCTCTGAAATCCAGGTTCTTGTTTACATCTAGGATGTATTCAAAGTGTGTTTGTTACTTTTATCACTTATAATTTTTCAATTAACCTTTTGAACTATTGATCCATTTTTGTGAACTAGAGATATGCTACACAGTAGTAATAATGAAAATGCACATTTAATAGACAACAACATACCCATTGGTCAATGTAGTCTTTATACCCACATGTGCAATCTTTTTTTGAATCCTCACCTGAGGATATTTTCCCATTAATCTTCAGATAGAGTGGGAGGGAGGGAGAGAGACACATTGATGTGAGAGAGACACATTGACTGGTTGCCTCCCATACCACCCCAACCAGGACCGGGGACCAAACCACAACCAAGGCACCCGCCCTTGACTGGAATCGAACCTGACTCTTTGGTCCTTGGGCCAATACTCCAACTGCTGAGCCAAACTGGCCAGGGCATGTGCAGTCTTTTAGGGTATGATTAAGAACTTGCTAATTCAGAAATGAGGTATTTATTAAAACTATAGTTAATATTCTGTCAAATTTGAGAAAAAAATACACCAAAATATTTTATCTATTTCCCCTGGAAAGCTGGGCTATCACAGACCACTTGGGAAGACCTGTGGTTTGAGCATGTGATTTAACCAACTGCTGTTGGTGGGAGTCAGTGAAGAGTGTTAAATGGGAGAGTGACCAATCAGGTTTTAATTTGACCATGTGCAGATTCAGTAGGAGAAACGATGGAAACGGACACCTGTTGGGAGTGTATTTCTGTGCCTTAATTAAAACAGCGACAGTGGAAATGGAGAGGAGGGTGAAAAAGCCAGATGACCTCTAGG